GCCCAAAATAACCTAATCCTAAGATTTATCCTTAAGATTGGATTTTATTTTACTAAGGGAGTATGTACTTACCACATATTACTATTCACTAGAAAAAAAACATAAGTACGATAAAAATCCTACCAATCCTTCACTCCTAATTCTCAAATTAATAATTAAAATATTTTTATGTTTGTATGTAATACATACAGTTAGACCAGCCCCTCCTCCGTAGCTCCTTTCGCTCATGTTTATATGATAGTTAACCAGGATTTATGAATTAAAAAAAATACTACATCCCATTTAACTATATTTGAATAAAATACTATCACATGGAACAATATTATAATATTATAATCCTTTTATTATGTCTTTCGCATCCAAATAATCTTTTTAACTGGCAGCGGTACTATATTCATTTACTGACTTTGATCGCTAATCTTTTTAAAGAAATATATAAATATGTGAACTACATTTTTATTAAAAAAGTTCACATGGAACATATTCTATCCCTTTTCATGTCATTCTCATTTAAATAGTCTTAACAATTAGCATAAATAAATTTAACAACACAGATTATTCTATCATATATTATCTCATGAACATGTATAGGTGAGGAAGATCTATAATAATACAAGGAAAATAATATCAAGGCCCATGTAAAATCATATATTTGCAAAGAATTATTACTTGCGCAAATATTTTTCCACGTGGTTCTCACCACTAAAGCTATTAGATTTTCTGAATTAGTGTCGAATGATCAACTCTGCTAAGTTTTAAAAGAGAAAATTATATTTGTACCACTAAAATTTAGTAGTACTGATTAATACCATAAAAACACCGTGCCTACTCTATACCACAAATCGATTCAAAACTTAAAAAGAACTATTTTCATTACCTCTATTTTCTCTATGTTATTCCCTAAAGGGCGCAAAGTATGGAGGACAGGGCATGCTACGATATTGTAAATACTATGACAATATTGCTAAGGTGATGGTCCAGTGAGAGGTCACTGTTGTTAATAGAGCTCAGTTGGCTTAGTTACTGATGCAATCCTTTATGATTGTAATGACAATGAATGTTGAAATTGTGCCCCCACACTGATCTTAAGGGGTATGGCAACGTCGATGCGAAACCCATGGTTTAAGGCATAAGAGAAGAAAACCATGATGGGCTATGCTATGCTTGATGCGTTAGAGGAACATTTATATATAATTTTAGTGATTTTATCATATTAATTGATAAAAGTGATATTTTTCAATATTCATACATAGTTTAGTAGATGACATTAGTGTCATGGAGTAGGACGGGCTCGGTAAGTATCTTGCTCGCATGTATGGAGGTTTTTTTGGTGAACAATATGTATTTTATGGCGTACATATATGGATATTAGGACAGAGAGGTTTCTATAAATACAAGAGATATTTTTAGGAGAGATTAGGAGAGAGGTTTCTATACATATAGGAGATTTTGCAGCATACGTGTACAGGAGATCAGGATTACATATCTACTCCCTCCATCCTAGAATATAAGCATTTTTAGAGTTGGACATGGTTATTAAGAAAGTTGATAGGATTAAATGGGGGGGAGGGTGTTGTGATTGGAGGAGAAGTGAAGGTAGGTAGGAAAATTGAATGGTGGAGGGTTGTGATTAGTTGAGAAGAGAATGTTGGTGGAGAAGTTGTTATATTTTAGGACAAATTCCATAGGCTATAAGTTATTATATTTTGGGACGGGGGGAGTAATAAGTAAGACATGGATACTGTGAAGTGAAGATGGATTCTTTATTATATTATTGATATATTAGGTTTATTTTTAAGTATAAATACGGTTCCATCTATTAAAAGAGCACATACCTTTAAGACAATGGTAATATGTAGTGGTGATAGATAAGTATATGTATAACCGAGATAAAGTAACTTTTGTTTGAATATCATTTGCCTATTTGACGGTATACATATTACTTTTATGATTATAATTAAAGTAATCTATGGTCTTTATAGTGAATATGGTGATATATGACTTCTTTTAACATTCTTGCCGGCGCAGTTGCGCGGGCTTCCTTCCTAGTTATATACTAAAAGTCCATTAAACTTACTACAAACACTCTTAAGCCACCACGTGGCACTCTAATAAAATAGAGAAAATCCTAGAAATTCTAAAAAAAAAGTAAAACATCTATCGCTTGATTTTCACTTAAATTGGTGGGTCCAATATTATACACCGTTAGATAAAATTGATCTTAAAACAAATTAAATACCATGGGTCCCAACTATCCTCTTCCCGCACATTGGCAGGTGTAGTATATACGTACGTACATACGTACGCCTCCTCCCCCCCTTTTCCTTTTTTTTTCTTTTTTTCTTCTTTTTTCCATTTATATATATAATGGATATATTTTTAAATAATTAATCATAATTTTACAAATAAAGAATCTACCATCATATAACTTAAACCGGTGTACTTTTTACTTTGTATTATTATTTTCAAATAATGCACTATTTTAAAATAAATTTTACACAATTATATCATGTCCTCTTCCGTACATTGGCAGGTGTAGTATATACGTACGTACATACGTACGCCTCCTTCCCCCCCCCCCCTTTTTCCTTTTTTTCTTTTTTCTTCTTTTTCCATTTATATATATAATGGATATATTTTTAAATAATTAATCATAATTTTACAAATAAAGAATCTACCATCATATAACTTAAACCGGTGTACTTTTTACTTTGTACTATTATTTTCAACTAATGCACTATTTTAAAATAAATTTTACACAATTATATCAGGTACCTATGGAATAAACAATATCTATATTAACTAATTTATACGTGCACTAAAACTGATGGCCCCATTATATAAATCATCAGATCTACTTTTTATTACATTGGTCTATTATTCTCAAGTAATGCACTGTTTCAAAGTAAGGTCTACACCATTATATTGTGTACCCATTAAAATAACAATTTAAAATCTATATTAACTAATTTACACTTACACTAGAACTGGTGGACATATTATTATAATCATCGGATCTATTGTTTGCTAATAAATAAAGCGTCCGAAATTCTCTTTTTGCCCGCTGCACAATGTATGTCTTCACCTTTCCCTTTCGCACGTGTAACAAAGCGTAGTGTCTGAGACATCTAAGGTGATCACAATCGATGTAGCGCTACCGTTTTGTCACATATCAAATCATACATGGATATGATTAATTTTGTTAATAACATGAAAAGAAAATTAAAGGTATGATGCAGCGATTAATTATTTTCCCGATTCCATATTTTGGATTTTTGTTTGCACACTTTCTAAGATTCTAAATGATGTCTTCTTTAAACAACATTTTAACTTTTTAGAAGTCAATTCATTCGTTTATACCCTCAAATAGCTATCACATAAATTATATAAATCATCAATTTCTGCTATCCTAAACCTTACTACATTTTTTTCATGCAAGTCATGGTGATTAGTAAATTGGTGATCAATGGATCATCGAAGTCATAAGATGAATATGTAAGAGTTACTCTGACCAATTGTAAATATATGTCAAAATTAATTGCTATTAGCTACAAAATTAATTTCTCTCTACATGTATATAAACATGGACGAAGCTGGAACAAATATTACCATATGTCCTATACATATATATTGCGCGGTTAATATTCTAATTAGTCATTTAAAATTCCTTAAAATGCTCTCAAGCTGCCACGTGGTGCTCTAATAAATTAGGGCAAATATTAGAAATTCTAAGAAAAAAAATCAAATTATCTATTACTTAATTTTCACTTAAATCGGTAGGTCCAATATTATAAACTGTTAGATTAAATTGATCTTAGAACAAACTAAATATTACGGGGTCCCACCTCAGCATATGTGCGCACCTACGTGCGCGGGTTCGTACGCCTCCCCTCCCTTTTTTCATTTTTCTCTTTCTTCTTTTTTCCCATGCATATGCTTCCCTCCCTTTATTACTGTATCATGTGCCTTCATGAGATGATTTAATAAAAAGAATTTTGAGTATCTTGCACTCGCATTTTTCATTTGCGGCCATACTACACGGTATGTATATAGATGGACTGTATGATAATTAACTACCAATAGTTCCTTATTTACTCGAGAAAAAAAAACATGATTCAAAAGTTGTTAAGTACTAAATCCATCTCCTACTCAAGAGTTCGTGAATGGTTTTCTAAGATACCTTAAGAAAAATAGAACCCTTAAATTATTATAAAATTACATTATCCAAACTTTAGTTTGCCCTAAATCTATTTCACAAAATTTTTAAACAAACAATAATCTTACCTTTCAATAATATAAGTGCCCGCGCATACGCGCGGGCCACCTTCCTAGTTATTTTAATAGGAATGTAAGTGTAAAACAAAGGATTGCAAAATGTAGGAAAAACACATGAATGACCATTTGAATGAACCGTAGAAAAAACGTAGGAATTAGATAAGAGAGATAGACTTAAAGGAAAGTTACCAAGAGGTTGAAGCTCGATCTTGTTAAAATTTCCTCCAAATCTCTATAGGATTTTTCATTCCATAAGAATTTCAAAGGATTGGATATGATTCAATCATTTCCTTCAAAGGATTTTATACGAAATTTTTCTATAGAATTGAAATCCTCCAAAATTACTGTGTTTTCCTTCAAATCAAAGGCCCCTTCCCTTCCTTACTACCAATGACGAATCACCAAACAAAAACGCCTATAGCCGCTTTAGGTTTTCCCGCGTAAATACTAAGTGCGCGCGTGATTATAGTTGATTAATTACCCGGCTACTATGTAGTAGTCGTCGTCGTCACGATCACATCGCGCGGGAAAGGATTGCTACGTGCGTACGGTGGCCGGCCGAGCACGTCGTCGGAGGTGGGGGGCGAGAGAGCAAGTGGGGCGCCGTCCTTCCTTCCGTCCCACACGTGTCCCACGACGCGCGCGTCATCCCACTCATCCAGCCGCCGACGCCGACGTGATCCCCGACCCTTTCCCCCCCGGGCCGGTGCCTTTCCGTTCCCTGCTTTTATTCCCCCTCTCTTCCAGTATTCCTCCTCCTCCCCGTCTTCGCAACGGCGGCAACGCAACCAAACGCCAAGACGCAAAGCGACCTACGTACTAGCTGGCTAGTGGAAGAGAAAGGCGGAGGCGTCACGAGACCGGTGCAAGTGCGACGCAACTTTTTCTCCGTCGAGGAGGAGGAGGGTGTGTGTATATATAGGTGCGGCGGATGGAGAGGACGAGGAGCTGGTTCGGGAGGAGGAGGAGGAGGAAGGCGCGGGGAGAAGGCGGCGGCGGCGGAGGGGAGGAGGGGGAGGGGCAGAAGGTGGTGGTGGACGGGTCGGAGATACGGGAGCTGGTGGAGGACAGGGAGGCGTTCGGGATGTTCGCGGAGAGCAAGTTCCGGGAGCTCGACGCCGACGGCGACGGCAGGCTGTCCGTGCGTGAGCTGCAGCCGGCGGTGGAGGGCATCGGCGCCGCGCTCGGGCTGCCGGCGCGCGGGTCTTCGCCCAACGCCGACCACATCTACTCCGAGGTACAGAACGCTGGAAAATTCTTCGTAGTGCTGCCCGGCGAAAAAAAAAATCGTTCAGAATGCTGCGCCGGCCAGCCGCCAGACACTTCTTTCGAGAAAAACAGATTGGTTTTACTATCTCGTTAACAACTTAATTAAGCCTTGCGCGTTGAGAAAAACAACACTAGACATTTTTTGGGTGCTGCTTCTAGTATCAAAGTTCTCAGTAATCAGTTCAAACTTAGAACCTCAATGAAGAATGCTAACAGTTGCACAACTAGTAGGGAAGTTATTACCATCTTGCTCCTGTCCTTCTAAGTCAAACACTTAGTAAATCGTTGACATCAATTTCTAGTAATTTGTGCAATTTAACAACGATTTTGCTATATCTCACTTGAAAGTTTTTTTCTTATCTCTCACTTGATTTTCTCACTCAAATTTACAGTGCATTTTCTTGTAAGTTACAGTGTAATTTATGAAACTTACACTGTAACTTTTGTAAGTTACACTGTAATTTTTGAATCTTCGCATGTAAATTTTAAATTTTGTATTGGATTTGGTCTTTTTCTTGAGGATATGGTAATTTAGTGTCCATTATGGTGTTTCTTAATTGTTTTTTGCTTTTTATTAAATCTATCGGATTTTAATCCAAAGATTAAAAATCTGTGTGATACGATCATAAAAATCTTTTGAAAGATGTATAGGTACTCCCATTTAACAACACGTAAATTGTATGTTATGAAAGCATTTCTCATGGTGCATCTTAAAAACGTAATCTTATTACGTTAAACTATATTAACATGAATTTTTATAAATTAATGGTCAAAGGTATTCACCTTTGATTTAGGACAAAGCTAAAACGGCAAGTAATTTAAAACGAAGCAAGTACCTTTATGTAAGTCTGTTCTCCTGAGTTTGGTATTAATGAATCGTACATATGTGAATACATATGCACCTTGTATAGTTGGCATGTAATGCGGTTCTTGAGCAAATCTTTGTAATTTGTCGAGTAGAAACTGTTTTTGACAAGTAGACGTGTCAATTATTGAATCATAGTATTATTGCTTTCCTAGAAATAATTGCTCAATTATTGCAAGGAGTACTAGTATTTATCAGACAACCTGAAAGAGACATGGTCTTATCGCAAAAGAAAATGAGGATAGAAAAACTGTGGCTGGTGTATTTAGCAGATCGATCATATGGTAACAGCCTAGATTTTTATTGATATCTAATCTGCCTCAGTACTAAAGCGTTTGTCAGCCTGAATTCCAGATTGGCAGAAAAGAGACTTTACCATGCAATGCAGGATGAGGGCTTGCCCACAGGTCCATGTCAAGATGCCCTGAACCAGAGTTAAGCTTGCCATTGGAGAACCTAAAACGTCACAGTCCAAACTTCCAATATCTTTCTGAAGCAATGACAGAAATTCTTGTGTCCCAGGCTCCCAGCCAATTTGTTAAAACTTTCTTATGCCGGCTTTCACATCGTAGTTGCTGAGTCCTACTTCAGACAGGAACACCAATGCAACTATGCAAATAGCATTCTGGCAAATCATGTTCTTTTCTTTTTGCCATGTCTGATATTTCTTGAATAATCCACTAGCAGCATCTTCTGCCGATGGCAACCACTGGTTCTACGGAGATAAAAGTCCAGATTTGTCGGCCTATTTGTTTGTTCTGTTCATCGATTAGTGGTAGTGAACTAGTGGCCAGGCATTCTTCTGTACTAGTTCACAAACCTGACATGCATGCAGGCAATCAGCGAGCTCACTCATGGGAAGAAAGAGGAGGTGAGCAGGACAGAGTTCCAGGAGGTCCTGTCCGATATCCTCCTCGGCATGGCGGCTGGCCTCAAGAGGGACCCGATCGTTATACTGCGCATCGACGGCGAGGACCTGAGGGACTTTGTTGACAGCCCCAGGTATGAGCCAGAAGCTGCTGCCATCTTCTCAAAGATAGGTTCTGAAGACATGTCTCTGCGTCAGTGCCTGCTAGCTGCTCTTCAGCTGCTGAATGTCGACAACGGAATGCCACCAGCTTCTGACCCTTGGGTAAGTCAACTGGATGCTTCCATGGTGATATTAATCATGACAAAATGTAGCTGTACGTATCAATCGAATCGTGGGGATTGTTATTGAGAAAATATATCTGTGTGGCATTAACAGGTTGCAGAGAACATCATAGAGCCGGCATTGCAGAAACTCCCTGCCGGCCAGCTTGAGCAACCGGCCTCGCAAGATATCTTCTTAGAACAGCTCAAGAAGCTCCTGAGCAACATCGCTGAAAGGCTTCAGGAGCAGCCTGTGATTGTCGCACACACCGAGAACACATTCGACGGTAGTTGTGTCAAGAGGCTGCTGGACAACAAATTCGAGCTGGACAAGGTATGCTAAACTGTGGTTCATCCTTAGGTTCTTAACTTTTTATACAGGTTATTGGTCAATGACAATACTGATCTATGGTGCATCACTTTGTTTGTATGCCAGTTGTTGGATTCTGTCTGGAAAGATGTACTCATAGAGCATAAGAACAAAGGATCCAGGGAGTGCCTGATAGCCGCACTCGATAAGATGGCAGATGCAGCAGGCTTACCACCTTACGGTGCCGTTAATCAGGTAAAAGCCCCAACCTTTACTAGCTTTGCATCTCAATTTTTTTAGTCAATAACACAACCATGGTATTTGTGGAATATCTCAGGTGGATGCCGTGGTGAATGAGGCGCTCAAGACAGTTAATGCTGATGAAAGAACAGCGGTAGACGAGGCCGGGTTCAAGAAACTACTGACAGATATCCTTAGGGCAGTGATGATGCAGCTGAACAGACAGCCGATTTTCGTCTCGAACAGCACCGTAGTTCACGAGCCATTGTTCAGTTCATCCGCAATTTTATCCTCGCCTCCAGTGAAATCATCGCCGAGTGAATAAATTAAACCATATATGAATGTTAATGTGCTTGACAGTGGTCTATCTGTAAGCAGTGCCTGTGATGTTGCTTTTTTGTCTGATCAAGCACTGCGGGGGCATGTATAGACTGGCTACAACCTGACGAGATGTAAAGAACACTTCCGTCAGTCTTGCTAGCCTGATTGATGTATAAGTTTGGAATAAGGCTTTCAAGCTATACAGATTGATCAATGGCAAATGCAACTATTTTGCAGTTTGCATTCATTGGGGGACTGTTTATTCTCCAGGAACTGTTCAGCTCTCTAATGATAAGGTTTACTATTTAGTTACTCAAGTTCTGTTATTCCACCTGTTCAAATGAAGAAAGAAACGACAATGTTCGCTCACTGTGGCTTTTACGGCTCTTTCGAGGTTTTCGTTGGATCTATATCAGTTTTGATGTAAGAATTGAGATTGTGATAAATCACAGGTTCAGGAATAATTTTGCAAACATGTTACTGCTGTCAATCAGGAAGCTTTGCTTGCAATATAACTACGGAAATTAGCAAGTTAGCCTCAACATATAATTTGAAAAGAAATGCAAAAACGTCATGAAAAAGATACCAAACTGAATAATTTGAAACATTTTCCCTTCATTCTGGTCAGGAAAACCATTGTCATTCCAGAACTAAGCAACAGGTGGAACTTCTAAGCAGTGCATTCCTTCACTTCAGTATCCAGATGCTCATGCATGTCAGTACATGGAAAGGGAAAATCTCTCATCTTTTCCTAAGGTTACCCTGATTCAGCAATTATGCCAAGGATGATACCCCTAGCTATTCATCTTTTGCATTTTGGTCTTCGTCTTAGAAACAATGAAGTCATCATCGTCATCATCTGTGTCACTGCTTGCCCTCCTCTTCTTCTGCGCGGTAGTTTTTCCAGAATCCTTTACGGCTGAGTTGGTTTTTGTAGCAGATGACAACTGTGGCTTTTTGGTTGGAGTGTCTGGCCTTCTCTTTGCAGAGGTTGTTTTCACTGGCGACTTCAGTTTCTGGCCCTGTTTCTTCTCAAAGACCTTTTGAGCCACATCCACTGGGAGTAAACCCCATTCCATCAACCTATACACATCCAAATGGTCATTGAAGAGATTAATTTCCTTAAATAAGAGGAAAGTCTATGCTTCAAATTTTGTACATTGAACAATAATTTAACAAGTGACTAGGGTTTGAAAACTGGCACCTGACCAGTTAATACTATGTAGTCAATGTTAAGTTTGGGTTTGTTATGACTGGGCTGTACAGTAACAGATGAAACAATTTTGTGCTGTGCTAACTGCTGAGAAAATGATTAGATAAGGACACCACTGGGAACCATCTGAAAACGGAAAAGATTGGTTGAAATAGTGAATCATGAGCCTATTTGGTGTAAACAAGAAGAGATCGAACAAAAATCACTGCATGAGGATAAGGGTTTAGCAAATTATAGAACATGATTGTTTGCATTCAGAAGTAGTTTAACTATTTGGCACTCTTAAAAGTTCCTCAAGCACCATATTACATTATCAGGCATGAAGATAAGGGAAATGTTATATGCTAACCATGTAGTAACTGTAATAACAAGTATAAATCAAAATCAAAATCCACAATGATATCTACAAATACCTAGTAAATCTTGTATCCATTCTTCAAAGTGGTGTCTAAGCATCATCGAAGTGACCCAAACAAGCTAAGGCTACACCTGGTTGGCTAGTGATTAATCGAAATAATTTCATATCGCATAGACATAAGTCTTACCAGATTGCAGCCATTTCACTAGTGGGCACCTGCTCATAGAGCGATTCATAGAATATCCTCAGTGGATCCCTCTGCAGTGAAATAAAAACTAAAAATTTCTGTATGAAAAAAATTAGAACCAACAAAGTTTGGAAAATGTTAGAATGGCCATACTTCTTGAGGAGGATCATGCTTCTGCCCTGGCAAATCATACACCTTTTTCTCTTTCTTCACCTTCTCTGCATCTCCCTTTCTAGTGGCAGCACCCTTCTTTATTTTCTTTTCAAGTTTTCATCATTCGCCAAGTAAAGAAACTAACTTAGAAACCAAGCAAAAGAAGCTTAAATCAATAGATTGAATACCTACCTTGGTATCGATTTCCAGATCCTCATCTTTTATTTTCTTAACCTTGGAGGTCTTGGTCACAGCTGAACTTTTCTTCTGCGCCTTTGGCTGAAATTTTCACATGTTCTAACCTCAACAACAGAACAAAGGAAAATTAAGCTGGATCAAATAGAAGAATAATTGCAACCTTGCGTTCATCATCGGAATCGGTTTCTTCCTTCTTAACCTTAGCCTTAACGGTGCTTTTCTGCTTCTCTTTTCCCTACAAGACACAATAATGATGCGATCTTATACATAACTTCAGAAGAATTTATAGGCAAATCAGTGGACTAAAGAACATCCAACCAGAAGGCAGATCTCGTACTGATAAAAGGTAGGACAGAATGCATGCTTCAAATCCAAAATGTAACTTGATCATCATCAAGGGAGTACACATCATGCTAGTGCAGCTGTGCATATCGTTCTATTTCGAAACATTTAATGTAGTAACTAAAAACCAATACTACAGGAGATTTCCAAATCGAAGGAAACCCTAGAACAAGATAGTACTAATAATTAGGACACAAAAATCCTAAGTTGCGCACAATGTCCCGCAAAAGACTGCAATTATCACAAAACATCAAAACAATCAAGGGGGCTGCACTAATATCTCTATCCATCAAGAAAGGACCGGATCGAACCTTATTGGACCGCGAGAGCGGCACGTGGTAGTCGTCGTCATCGTCGCCGCTGTCGTCCTCGTCCTTCTTGGCCTTGGAGGCACCCGCATTGCCCGCCTTCTTGGCCCGAGAAACCGCGAGCGGCACGTTGTCCTCTTCATCGTCATCCTCGTCTTCCTCCTCCTCCTCTTTATACTTGGGGGCGGCCGCACCGCTCGCTTTCTTCCTTCCCCGGGCATGCGAGAGCGGCACGAAATCGTCTTCATCGTCGTCTTCTTCCACCACCTTCGGGCGCCTCTGGACCGCTGCGGCGCCAGCGGAAGCGGCGGCGGCGGCGTCTTCTCCGGCCATCGCTAGGGTGGGGGCGAGGGTTTTCGGATTTTTCGCGGCTGGAATTGGGGGAGAAGCGAGACCGCAAGGCCGAGCGTGACGAGGAGACCCCTGGCTTTACGGGTATTTGGGCTCAGAACGCTCAGGCTGCTACTTTATTGGGCTGCATTCTGTTTAGGTCCTACACGAAGCGTTAGGTAACATGGGCCTCTCCTGGGAAAGTTCTCCCACTAGTTACCCTTGTGGCCCATATCCGGATATGCTTTCATCAAAAGGAATAAGTTTTGACTCCCTTGACTGGTGGTCGAATCTAATCCCTATTCATGATATCTTGATCCTTAACTATTAAAACCGATATTATTTGACTCCCATGACGGTTTTGGAGGACGGTTTCATTAACATAGCACCTACGTGCAGTGTTGACTTGGTCTTCGCACAACGTGGCATTTATATAGCATTAAAACTAGAAAAAAATGTGGGATCCATATATCATTCAAAAATATTGTGGGACCCACTGACATGTGGGTCCCACAATCATTCTTCACAGCTTCACTTATTGTTCCTCCCTCTCTATCCCCTCTCTCTCTCCTTTCGACAGAACCAAGGCTCATCGGCGGTGGTGGTGGCGGCGAGCGGGCAAGAGCTCGGCACGGCAGCACCATCTCTCCCCTCTCCCTTCTCCACCCTAGGCGATAGCCTCGGACGGTGGCGGCGTTGTCGACGGAGTAGATCGCGACCACGATATTTACAGAGTATGGGGATCGTTGGTACCATGGTATATGCGAGATTGAGATAAAAGAGACGGAGACAAGGATTTTATACATGTTCGGGCCCCTTATCCGTAAGATAATAGCCCTACTCCAGTTGGTCGAAGCCAGTGTTACTCTTATTCATCAAAATCATACAAGTACAATATTTCTGATAACCTATCTAGTCATCATCGACTTAGCGGCATGGAACACCACACATAGTCAACGACGAGGTAGTCTTCATCCTCGAATACAAACTCGGCGAGATCAGACATAGCGCTAGATCCCTCTTGTCGGCCTCTGTGGCACCAGATTGGGTATGTCTAGGCTTATCTCTGATATCGATGTCTGGCGGTGTGTATTGGTGTCTATTCTGACTGAGCCTCCCCTCTCCTCCTAAGGGGTCTTGTATTTATACCCCCAGATATCCCCTAGTCCAAATAGAACTAGGGAGACAATTATGGATACAATCCGAGTAATCCTTATAATTTCCATGCAGGACTCTCCTTCTACTTCCTTATTTGGGAATACCTTCCGTATATGAGGCATGACTCCATATAGACTTGGTATATGGTGGACCCCGCAGAGCCTAACCCAAAATCATTAGGTATGTCTTATCCATAACACTTACGAGCGCTTCGCAGGTGGTGGCGGGTGGGGGCTGGAGTAGTGGTGGCGCGCCCCATGGCTGGCGGCAATGGCCGCAGCCGAGGAGGTTAGAGACGAGAAGAGTGACGGCGACGGGCGGGCGAGAGCTCGGCGGTGCCACCTCTCCCCTCTCCCCTCTCCCTTCTCCACCCCCGACGATAGCCTCGGACGACAGCGGAGGTAGAGGAGTAGCTCAGCGGTGTTGCGACCAGCCGAGTCACGAGTCGACAGCGGAGAGCACCTAGCCGAGTGCTCTGGGGCAAGACGATAGTCGATAGAGACAGCGATGACGGGGCAAGTGGCGACGAGATCGTTGAGGCGGAGGTACGCAGATGACGCGACCGACCCAATCACGAACCCTCGCCATGGAAGTACACGACCACAGGGAGCCTCTCATCCCCACCACTAGCGACAGCGGCGCCGGGCTGAGAGGTAGAGTCGCAGATTTCCTCCCCTCTCTCTCTCTCTCCAACCCTTCTTCCTCCTCACTTTCGCTCCCTTATCTATCTATCTCTTTCTCTCTCTCTCTCTTCCCCTTTGACCGGGAGTGGGGTATCGTGGCGCAAGCGGAAGAACGTGGCGGCGCGGGGTCATAAGGAGGAGGCGGGAGGTGATGTTTGCACGCCGCGCAGCAAAGACCTCCCGTTCCTCCTGCAAGATACGGGCCGCGGAGCCCGAGAGGCGGAACTAGGGGTGGTTGTGCTTCGCCCCGACTGACTCCACGAAGGCGGCGGGTAACCGTCGCAGGAAGGAGATGACGTGGTGGTCGGGGGCCTTGAGCGAGAGGCGCAGCTTGGAGACCACGAAGATGGGGGTCGGCGACGACGAGAGGAGGCCGGCCAGCAACACGAGTGACCGGAGGTCCCGCGCCTAGGACAGCATGGGGACGGCGTCGAATAACGTGTCCTTTCCACAATTCCATTGCATCTTCACATCCACACATGCCATAGATCAGACGAGCACAACGAGGCGAGCTGTCGCCGCTCCTGCCGTCACTGCCTGCCGCCGCCTGAAGGGGAAGAGAATGGGGAGAGAAAGAGAGAGAAGGGAAAGAGAAAGGGAGGAGAAAGAAGGGAAAGAGAGGGAGATGGATGATATGTTGGGCCACATGTTCAGTGGGTCCCATATATTTTTTTTGTGTGAGTGATAAATAGGTCCCATATATATGTTTTTAATTCTAATGCCACCTAATTGCCACGTCAATGTCACGTGGGATGAAGACCAGGTCAACACTGCCACGTAGGCACCACGTCAGCGAAATCGTCTTTCAAAACCGCCGAGGGAGTCAAATTGCATCGGTTTTAATAATTGAAGGGTCAAAATATCCGGTATTATGGTTTAGGGATATGAATCAGATTTAACCATTAGTTAAGGGAGTTAAAGTGAACTTATTCCCCATCAAAATCAATAAAATGTTGAACCATACTGGCACAGTCCAGCAAAGTTTCGTATCCAGATAATAACATCTCAAAAATAAAATTCTTTTTTGAGCGGTCAAAAAAAAATCTAGTATATGCCAACCAGCTACAATACTCCTATATCATTTGACTGAGGAAGTGGATTCTTGGTGATGTGGTCAAGCATTCCCCTTAGAGCATCACCAACAGTCTATCTATTCCATTCCCAATCCTAATTTTTTAGGATTTTGGTTAAAAAAAATTTGGGGCAACAGATTCCCAAAAGAGCTCCGGACGTTTTGGAGTTCCCATCTCCAGTTTTCTAGGTGCATGTATTTGAGGGCGAGAGAATGACTCTCAATTCTCTTTCCCACGCGTTTCTCCTCTCCTTCCCCACGCGTGGGCGGCGTCGAGGCAGGTCGCGCGTGGGAGATTGCGATCTCCTGCGCACGGGAAAGGAAAAACAAAACTAGAATTTCTATTGGAAATTTAACATAAGAACCCACTTTTCGTTTTTGGAATAAATTTAGGCTATCTTTTGAAGGGAGGGGTTTTTTCATCACCTATTTTCAGTTCAGAATACCCAAAAATTAATTTTTAGAGATAGATTATTGGTGGACTATTGGTGATGCTATTTAGGCTTGTAGAGTTGTAGGCAATGAAAGGCACTCTGTTGTGTTGCAGGTGCAGAAGATCCGGAGCTGAGTCTCGCTTTCCCTCACCTTTACTCCTTTAGGCCAAAATTAAGGGCTGAGCTTAATTAGCGTGATCCACAATCTGGCATTCGATTATTGGGCTGCCGCGCGAGCCCCCACCAGCCGTGTCGTCTGTTGACTACTGAGATGGCTCTCCCCCCTTAATTTACGTGTCTTTCCCTCCACTTCACACGTTGCTATCCACGGCGGATTCCAAACGTGAACCGCTCTCAAACCGGTTTGATGACTTGATGTCGTCGTTTCATTGGTCAAGAAACTGCTCTGCAACGTCTAATTAAATTCGCACAGCGAGTCAGTGACAGTGTGACACAGACGTTCTCTGCTTCCACCTCTAGTACGTTTCTACTCTACCCGCCGCTCCGCGGCCGCGCGAGTCCACCGCTCCGCTCCACGCGCGCGCGAGCCCTCGATTCGTCACGCACACGCGCCCGCGAATAACCCATTTCATCATCTCCTCGCGCCCGCGCGCGCGGTGGCCACTAGCCCACCACTACCACTACGCGCTGGTAGTTACCCGCCCCTATCACCCCGCGCCTCGGCCTCGCTCGCTTTCCCCTACTTCCAGCGATTTCATCAAGAACCACCTAGCGAGAGCGAGACCGAGCGAGAGAGAGAGAGCACGGCGGCGATGGCGTACCAGAGGGGGGAGACGTCGTCGGTGGTGGAGGCGTTCACGCTGTCGCCGCTGCCGTACCCGGTGATCCTGATCCTGCTCATGGTGATGCTGCTGCTGGGGGTGTCGTGGTTCTTCACGTACGAGGACTTCATGGAGGAGGCGGCGGAGCAGCTCAGCTGGGCGCTGCTGCTCGTCCCCGTCGCGCTCGTCCTCCTCATCCGCTGGATCTCCTCCGTCGACACCTTCGACGGCTACTTCAGCTTCTACCCAACCGAGCGCCGCTGGAACCGCTACGACCCGGGCCCCGCCGAGGGGAGCTCCCCATGGGGCGTCGCCATGGTCGTCCTGCTCCTCCTCGTCCTCGCCTCCTTCCACTCCACCTTCCAGGACATGTGGAAGCCCTGATCATTGATTCTACTGCTACTCGTCGTCTTTGATATCCGCACGCCTATTATGCGTACGTACGTGGGGTTATACGCTGCTTGATTTGCTTGCCGGTTAGTAACTAGCTAGTTATGCATCTGTACATATACCGAGCTTGAGACTGTTAACTCTTGTTTTGTAATTAACGCGTCTGGTTTTTGTTCGGGATCGAGTTTGTTTTCTCTGTTCATCCATCCGTTTCTTCTTCTCTTGTTTGTTGTTCACTCGTCGACTCAAATATTCTTTCCCTCCCTGTTGAACGTGTGAGATTCTTTTCTTTTCTTTGCCAGATGATTGATGCTGCTCTCTTCGGCATGAAGGGATGCATCTATTCCGTTCTGAAGGCCTCGATCCTTCCTTCAAAAACTTGGGTGACGATTGGTAGGATCGAGCTGCAACCATACTATAACTACAAGAATCAGTGAAGAGACTACAGATATATGATAAATGCAGACAGTGCAGAGTTCTTTTAGATGAGGCTAGAGAGTTCGAACGCAGGGCAATCATCGCACTTGTTCGAACGTTCGTTTATCTTTCTGCTTGGCCTGCACATTTTTTTAGAGATAGAGGCTGTCCAAAGTTTGGATCTAAACTTCAATCCTTTTTTATCATATCAACCTGTCATATATATACAATTTTCAGTCACATCATTTCCAATTTTAATCAAAATCTAAACTTTGCGCTGAACTAAACACAGCAAGAGTATAGGTTATTTCCTCAAGGAAAAAAAAGAGAGCATAGGCTAGGGTAGGATTTTGAGAGTCGAGAGCTATGTATGATGTATCTCCTCAGCCCACGCTTGTCGTGTTGTCCATCGTGTGCTAGCAAGACGCGGATGCCGCTTTGACAAAGCATGGAGGAAGACAAAGGCAGGGGGTGGTTGGGCCGTCCATATATTGCCGCTGCTGCCGTCGTCGTCGTGGCGTAATTCAATCCGATGCACGAAACCTGCAGCAATCAGCTGTACGTGCCGCGACGTGCATACACGTACACCGGAATTGGCGATTCATACGAGCGTATTAACACTGCCCAACCAACCACCCTTTGCTAATTCTCATCCCGTCCAGGCGGCGTGCCGGTCCATGCCGTCGTTTATCATGCCGATGCCGGCCATCGTGCGTGTCATGCGTTCCGGCGTTTTCTCCTGCACTCGATCGTAGTTTGGTGCGAATCAACGTGCTGTACGTATAGTCGATCGAAATCGTCGATCAGTTAGCCGGTGCCCGATGGGCGATGGCCCATCGCGTTGCTATTGCCCCGTGAAAATGACCTCATCTGGCAGCAGGAATCTCCCGTACCCGCCGGTGTCCATCGATCTGTCTCCTGTCAATCCTGTGCGTGTCCATCGAAACGTCTGCTGAAACAGCGACGGTTTTAGCAGAGATACTACGGGTCGGGTATGTTTAGTTCACGCTAAAATTAAAAATTTGGTTAAAATTGAGACGTTGTGACGAAAAAATTAGAAATTTATATGTGTATAAAAGTTTTGATGTGATGAAAAAGTTGAAAGTTTTTTAAAAATAATTTGGAACTAAACAAAGCCTACCTCCGGACCCGGCCTCGAGAGTCGAGCAGGTACCATTGCCTGTCAGTGACGCGGACCGGAAGGAGAAAGACGATGAGCGATCGATCGATCGATCGAGCAGCTAGAGGGCTAGAGCTCATCATCAGCGAGCGCCACGCCGCGGGCGCCTGCATCAAACAGCAGCATATGTAAGCCTGGATCGGCTGCACACTTGGAATGATTCGGAGAGAGCAAGCAAGGGGAGCACGACAATGATGTGGTGTCCACCAAACACGGTAATTAGGGCAGGCTTTTTGCCAAAAGGGCTCCGGTTCGGTTGTTGCCATGTCTTCGCGAATCTTTTGGGCCGTCTCGGCCTTTTTAATTTTCTACTATCTCTCATACAGGGTAGTATGCCTTTGGTGGATGCTTCATGTCATGCTTTCTTTTGACGAAGCCGCGTGCGCCTGACCGACAGTAGTATGCATGTAGCCAAGGAGGACTCTTTTATTCGTTGATGGGAAGTACAGGATTCCTCGATTGCGATCAGCAGCTTACTTGCGGCAAACGGAAGAAGCGTGCCAAGGAGGCAGCAACTAACCGGCCGCACCAACTTCTTACCGCTCTTTGGCTGAAAATTTGACATTTTGACACTTTTGTACAACATATTTTACAGCTAGATCGTGGTAAAAAATTTAACAAAAATAACCCTTCATCTCAGTGTCAAATCCCGAGGCGCCGAGGTCCACCATGTCAACCCTAGGTGTCTTAGCGCTGAGCATCCACCGTCAAATGTTCTTATAAAACCAAAGACCTTCTGTTCTAAGCATGATACAATGGTTTTGGTACTTCTTGTGTTTCTACACACTGCAAAGATTCGAACTTTGGGTTAAAAGCACGATAAATGGCAGGAGCTACCACCGCATCCGCACCAAGCTCATTTCCATCGGAATCGCTAATTCGCGTGAGCGCCAGCGGCGCGCGTTTCGGGAGCAGAAGGCCCAGCGCCGGCCCGCTGGCGCGCGCCGCCTCCTCCCACGCTTTTCTTTTCATTTTTTTACCGATTTTTTTTTTCGTTTTTTCTTTTCACCTTTTTTATTATTATTTTTAATCTTTTTAAGTATGTTTTGAGTTTGAAAGTTTTTAAATTTTGAGTTGAAATTTTTTCAAATTTGAACTTGAAAGTTTTTAAATCTCGACTTGAAAGTTTTCAAATCTTGATTTAAAAGTTTTTCAAAATTTTCAAATCTGGACTTGAAAGTTTTCGAATCTCGAGTTGAAAATTTTCAAACCTCAAATTGGAAGTTTTCAAAATTTTCAAATCTGGACTTGAAAGTTTTCGAATCTGAGTTGAAAGTTTTCAAATCTCGAGTTAAAAGTTTTCAAATCTGAGTTGAAAATTTTCAAAATTTGACTTTAAAATTTAAAACTTAAATCAAAAGTTTTCGAATCTAACTTAAAAATTTTCAATCTGTTAGTAAAAAAATTTCCAAAAAATTCTCTAGAATCTTTTCTAATTTCTATAATTAGTGTTAAGTATATATTAACTAATAGATATGTAATTAAGGCTTAAGAGGGGGGAGGGGAGTGCTCGCTAGCAGCGCTTACAGCTAGGAGCCCCCCATTTATTTAATCCGTGGAAGCAGCGCCAACAATCTCGTCGTTAAACCGTTGAAGTTCAGTGTTAGGTAACCTGCTGTTGACAAGTTCGTCCTTAGCACCTAACTTCTTGGCGATGTTTGGTCTATTTTTTAATATAGTTACCACAGTTTAATTATAAAATAAGTTCTATAAAAGGGTTAAAATGTCAAAATTGCTCTTTGGAGCGTTTGCCGGTGTTGGATTAAGAGTTCAGCTAACCAGTCCGTACCACAAAATCGAACCGGTTCAGCTATCAGATCTTGCGTTCTACTACTAGCCCTTCAGTAAAAATCGGATCAATTTACCCCTACTGCAAATTCAAGCCGGTTGCATTGCATTCTCTAAATTAAAACATCGTTACCGCCCGGTCTTATCATATTTTCAGAGACGATAATAGGGTAAAAGTCAGCAACTAGTGGGCTTCTTAGAATGGTCCTTTCAAGCAGTCTGCTCTTAGTATAGTACCACCATGCATGCACCATTCTCTGCTTTCTGCATTCTACTACGTGCCAAGAGACAACGTTCCACGTATCACATAGGAGATAAACGTAATTTTGTTTTTCGCGAGTGTTGTGGAGATAAAATCTTGTCCACAATACTCATGCATGATATGATCCTAAGAATCTGTACTAGCATATATGGGTTTCTCAAAGAAAAACTGTAGCAGATGTGTTTTTCTGAGAAAATTAAGGCCCTCATCGTTTGGCCAATTACATATAATTAATATGTTATTTGGCGTATTAGCAAAATTATAACAAATTATATATAAGACTTTCATATATGTGTTTTTAGCAACTTAAATACTGATACCAAAAATAAATTTTGATGAAAAAACTTCAAAATCAACTTTAAAATTAAATTTGAAAAGTCAAATTTTGGAAGCGGCTGATGTTGTACGGAGAAAAGGAAGGGGGCCTAATTCTGTTGTGGATGTGTCATGAAAAACTGTACATACTGTCATCGTAAACATGACTATCAGCTAGGACGAATGACACATGCCAATCACCCTCTATTTGAAAATATAAGTATATCTAGTATATAAAATTTATCTCCATGTGATATTTTCATCGCACGTAAAACGAAAAAACTCATTAGCATAGGATTAATTAAGTATTAACTATTATAAAATTGGAAAATAGATTATTTATTTGATTTTTTAAAATAACTTCTACATATAAATTTTTTTGTCAAAAACATATCATTTAATCCCTTATCCTTATGCCTATCATCCAAAATTTAAATTTTCAACCTTAAATTTGGAGTTGATTTTAAATTTTTTTTCATCGAAGTTTATTTTTCAACTTTTGCTTTTAGATCGTTAAGAGCACATATATAAAAATTTTTATTCATAAACTATTTTTTGTTTGTAAATATGTTATTTGACTTATTTTCTGAATAAGCGAAACGATTGGAACAAATTGAAGTTTATAGTTGAGAAAAGGAACCGCACCTAAGCAATACCTGGCCCACACCTTTAATACCTTTTCAGTGTATATGTTATGTTGTAAACCGTTGGATCACAGCCACTCGATGGATATCAGGCATTCCCAAGCATTCTACTCCCTCCGTCCAAAAAAAAAAAGGCAAACCCTGAGTTTTCGTGTCCAACTTTGATTGTCCGTCTTATATGAAGTTTTTTTATAATTCGTATTTTCATTGTTGTTAGATGATAAAATATGATTAATATTTTATACGTGACTTGCTTTTTTAATTTTTTTCATAATTTTTTCAAATAAGACGAACGGTAAAACATTAGGCACGGAAACTAGGGTTTTTCTTTTTTTTGGACGGAGGGAGTAAACATCTTACCGGCCGGTCTTATCAGAATAATAGCAGTGTTTGTATGCACTTGTACTACTCACATGACATAGGCGATAAATTAATTTTGTTTTTCGCGAATGTCGTGCAGATAAAATCTAGTCCATAATACTCATGCATGATATAATCTAAAAATCTCTAGCATATGTGTTTCTCGAAGAAAACTGTAGCAGATGTGTTTCTCTAAGAATAATCTGTTGTGGCTGTGTCTAAGAGATGCAGACAAGTCATCAAGAAAGGCAAATTAACGTGCAACGTGCTGGCTAGACCGCCAGAGTACTAGTACTACCTCTGTTCTAAAATAAGTGTAGCCGTAGGTATCCATATTCAATGTTTGGTCGTTGTCTTACTTAAAAAAAATGAAATTTCTTTTTTAAAAAATAATTACAGATAAAAAACTATTCATATTTTACCATCTAATAATAAAAAAAATACTAATCATAAAATAATTGTTAATAAAATAATTTTTAATAAGACGAACGGTTAAATGTTGGAAATGAATAATATAAAATTGAACTTATCTGAAGGTGGAGGGAGTATTATATAGCACAGAGTACCCCGCACGGACAAGTCAGCTAGCCCGACGTATCGTTTTAATTTGCACCACAATGGCATTCTTCCTGGTGGCATGTCTGCCATGGGTTTGTTTCATCCTCCTCTCCCTGTACGTCTTCCAGTTGTTCGCCGATGCGCGCCGCCGCCTTCCACCCGGCCCATGGCCGCCGAAGCCTCTCATCGGCGACCTCCTTGCCCTTGGGAAGGGCGACCAGCAGCACCGCTCCCTCGCGCGCCTCGCTGACCGCTACGGCCCCGTCATGTCGCTCCGCCTCGGCACGGTCCTCACCGTCGTCGTCTCGACGCCGGACGCCATGCGCGAGATCTTCCACAAGAACAAGGATAACCTCGCGGGCCGCCCCACCGCCGACGCCTTCAACGCCATGGGGCACAGCGCCAACTCCCTCCTCGGGCTGGAGCACCCGGGCGTCAGGTGGCGCGCCATCCGGAGGTTCTCCACCGCGGAGCTGCTCGCGCCCAGGCGGCTCGCCGCGCTGCAGCCCCTGTGCCGGGACAAGGTGCGGGGCCTCGTCCGCGGCGTCTCCGAGCTCGCGGCGCGCGGCGAGCCCGTGCACGTCAGGCGCGTCGCGCTCGACATGGCGCTGAGCTTGATGCTGAGCGCCATCTACTCCGTCGACCTGGACCCCGAATCGACGGCCGTGTTCAGGTCGGTGGTGGAAGAGGCCATGCTGCTGATCGGCACGGCGAACCTTTCGGACCTCTTCCCGGCGATCGCCGCCCTCGACCTCCAGGGCGTCCGCCGCAGGGTAGCGGAACTGTTCACCATCACGTACCGCCAATACGACGAGCAGGTTGCGCGTCGCAGGCCCGAGCGGGACGCCGGCGAGGCTGGCAAGAACGACTTGCTAAACGTGGTGCTCGACATGGAGCGCGAGTGGCAACAGAAGGGCTCCGTACTAAGCCACGACGCAATGAGAGTATTATTTACCGTACGCACCCGTCATTTCTATGATCACCTTTATAATCGTACGTGGGTAGAAGAAAGGCCGAGTTTACTTCCAAACTTTTAACTTTTTCATCACATCAAAACTTTTCTACACACAAATTTTTAATTTTTCTGTTGCATCGTTCCATTTTCAACCAAAATCTCAATTTTGGCGTAAACTAAACACACCTAAAGCCTGCATGTTTTACATGTTGATCCTTTTATAAAAAACTTATATTTCATAAATATACTTTGAGTAAAACTTATTTTAATGATAGACCTAAAACTAGATGCTAGAGCCATTGATATGATGATATCAAGTATCAACATGTCGATGCCAAGGAGGCTATGGTGTCTATAGCGTCGACACCTGGCACTCATTGCAGCCCCACCGCCATGGCTGCTAAAGTGTTTGGAGGTCGGCTCCATGGCTATGGGCATCAGGAAAAGTGCTACGCTTAAGTGCTAAAGTATTATACATACCACTGTTTTTTAATATAGGCCACAATTGATTTTTTTTAAGTTACTTGACTTCTCATCATTTATATAGATATTTATGAAAATAGACAAACCATGCTGCTATTGTAAAATACTCCCTACGTCCCAAAAAATACAACTTCTTCATTTTCTTTAAATATAACAACCTAGGAGATATGAGTTAACGTTTATCACTAAACTAGTCTGGTCCGACACTACACCCATCCCAGACGACAAACAAGTTTTTTTTTACAACTCTATCTAATAGCTATGCTAAGAGCTAAAAAAAACAGTACTATATTATGGGGAGGATGGGGTAATTTTGATGATAAATTTAGTGATACCCTTTTCACTTAACTAAGTAATTGAATAAATGTTGTAGGTCAAAGTTTGAGAAAAAAAATCAACCATGTCATATATTAAAGCGGAAGTAGTACTCCAAATTTGATTTCAGGCACCCATATGTTATAGAAAGAGGTTAGTGCCAATATTCCTAGCACCTAACATCTAGACATTCAGCGTCGACACCACTATGGTACCATAATGTTATTTGGTACTCCTCCGTTTCAAAATTTATCTTAAAATATATAAGCTTTCTCAACCAAATAAATTTCTACATATTTTCTAGGAATCCTTATATTTTGGATGACACGAGTAGTATTTATTATATGATTGGCATGTTAATGATTTTCTCGTTTTCTCAATTAAAGTGAGAATTTATATGGATTCTTTTATTACTTTGGTGTATCCAACGGATACGCTATTAATAGCGTAACTAGCCAAATATTCATACGTTGCAAGAAAATATTGAAAATAGCAAACAAAATCTTTGTTGAAAAATATATTATTAGTTGGTTGAAATAGGATATTTTATTTTTAAAAGACAAAAAAATACCGTACTTAGAAAATTAAAGTGTCATGGCCTTTCCCTCAAAAAAAAGAAAAGTGTCACGGCCTGCAGCGAGCAAGCAAGGCGAGTATTCAACTATTTATCACCCGTATGTCAGGATCCTGGTGGTGGCGGACTTGACAACATCACTATTCACTACTGCCTTTTACCTTTTAATAGTAGTATATAATACTAGTTAGTATAGATATTTCTTTACTAATTGAAAGCGCTCGTGTAAGTTTTCTCAGTTTTTAATGGGTGAATAGCTAATTTAGTCCCTCAAGTTTTACCGAAGGCTCACTTTGATCCTTCAGGTTTTATTTTATTCACATAGGTCCTTTAAGTATTTGTTTTGGCCAAAAATCATCATTGGGCCCACTTAATATGCCATATGGCTATTTTTAGTCATCAATTCTATTAGAAAATATCTCTTTTGCCCTTAACTTGTATACAACTATACACTAGAAAAAAGAAAACCAAAATGAATAAACAACATTACATATGTACTTCCCATTATTTCAACATGTGCACATGAAAATTGAGCCTAATGGCTATCGTATACACTTGCAAGTACATAATTTATTTTTGTTTTATCTATAAAAAGAATTCATTACATGCAATTTTTTCTCTTATATATATGTGAATGAGGGGGTATAAGTGTCATTTATCAAAAGAGTTGTTAGTTATGTGGGTTCAAGTATAAATTTGAATTAAAATAAAAACTTAAAGGACTAATATGGACACATTGAAACATTAAGTACTAAACTGATCCTTGCATGAAACTTGGAGGACCACTTTAACTATTCACCCGTTTTTAATCCTAGATGGGTAAAAGGGCTAGAGGTCTCCATCGTTTTCTCTATACAGCATCAGTTGCTGCCAAAATTAAATTTTCAAACCCAATTTTGAAGTTGATTTTGGAGTTTTTTTTATCAAAGTTTATATTTTACATTAGCATTTAAGTCGCTAAGATAAAAGTCTTACCTATAAATTACTATTGTTTTGCTAATACGTTGAATTGTTTATTATCCGTATTTGGCTAAACGATGGGGTATAATTAGTGTATCGTATGGTTGCTCTAATTAATATGTGAGAGTTCCATGCATTCGAATTTTACATAAATGTTTGGAGTCCATGACATAACCAACAAGAGAATAACTAAACCAACGTGCGCTATATATTGAGATAGAGTCCGGATTGGTCACATAAAGTTATTTTAAAAATGTCTACACATGTATATATACTGCTTCGTACGTACTCCCTTCATAAAAACAAACTCAACTTAAATGGAGATGTGACTCATTCTAGTAAAACAAATATGGACAATAGGCCGTTTTGGTTTGATACCAAAACGTTGCCATACTAATTTTTTGGTAGTTTAAATAGTAAATGTGATGATTTGGTTTGAAGCCAAATATTTGGTAATGCCTATACTCAATTTGGCACAATTCTAGAATGTTCTTCACCACAATTTGAAATTTGGCTCTCAATTGGCATCAATCCAAAGACATTTATTTATAATTCTACCCTACCAAAATATTGGTAGTGCCAAACTACCAATATATTGGTAGGTACTAAACCAAACAAGACCAATATTCTATTCAGATTTATTGTATTAGGATTAATCACATATCCACTTATGTTAAATTCTTTTGGGACGAAAGGAGAATCTAGCGAGCATAGTTAGAATGATATATGGTTTTTAAATACATACACTTAACAAACACAATAACAGAGAACCTTAAAATCCCGTATATTCCTATATTAGAAATTATTTGAAAAATTAAAGCATGTTATCCAAGCGAATACAAAGGTTGATGACTAGTTCCATCTAATATAAATTGCATATCTGAATTTAACCAATATAATCTCAGGATTTATACGGTGCTGGAGCCAGTACGACCTCGGTATTAATCGAGTGGGCAATAGCAGATCTACTGCAAAATCCAGAGTCAATGCGAAAGATAAAGGAGGAGATCACAAATGTCATTGGCACGAATGCACAGATCCAAGAATTTGACATCGCCCGGCTCCCATATCTTCAGGCCGTTGTGAAAGAAACCCTTCGTCTTCGTGCTGTTGCGCCATTGGTGCCTCGCAGAGCCGAGGCAACGATAGAGGTCCAGGGCTTCACCATTCCTAAAGGCACCAACGTAATTCTGAACTTATGGGCTATCAACCGAGATGCTAGGGCATGGAATGACCCGGATAAATTCATGCCCGAGAGATTCATCGGCAATGACATCAATTATCTGGGACAAAATTTTCAGTTTGTTCCATTTGGTGTTGGACGACGCATTTGCCTTGGATTGCCACTAGCACAAAAAGTGATGTACCTTGTTCTGGGGACACTGGTGCATCAGTTTGAATGGACCCTTCCTGAAGAGCTCAAGGAGACTGGTATAGACATGACAGAAAAATGTGGAATGGTGCTATGTCTCGCAAACCCCCTCAAAGTCATGGCTAAGAAAATGTAGTGAAACACTTCAGTGAAGTATTCAAGAGTAAGCACATTTGCCAAAATTGATATGACACCATGTGATCGAGCATATGTACTGTTATTAGCTGTGGAAAGTAAGTGTGTGTATGAATAATGCCGTAGGTGTGTGTATATGTTCAGTACTTGTGTAACACAGGAGTACAAATTCAGATATATATCTGAAGAGTTCTGTGGGTACTGGGTAAGTAAATTGGCTGGACCCTTGTAGAGGGCTAGCTCCCAATATCTAGTTCAGTTGAACATAATAAACTCAATGCTTGTAAAATAGAAGGTAAAGTGAATGTATTACTTACGAATAAATATGTTGCAAAACTATGCATTATTTGAAACTCGCAATCAAAAAGCAAAAATAAAAATGGGACCGGCTAATGATTAAGTCATTAGTTGAAGTACATATTCCTCTATGATGTTGAGCGACTCATACGATTCCTATATGAAAATACCCTGGAGACTAATCCACTGAAATATCGGAAATGCATGTTAGTAAAGAGCATAATGTTGGACAAATACGAAGGCGAGTAACGGTAATCACACACAACCACTTATTCAGAATATGACAATTAAGCTGGAGGGTCCAAACAGTTCAATGATTGTTCATCTAATCTGAAGGCTAAGTATCTATCAGAAATTGAGTGGGACACAGCACAAAATTCTCAAGAAAGACAACCGCAAATTCTTTGGCGGAGAAAACGATTGTTCAGCTTAATTGTCATATTCTGAATAGAGATTTGCTCCGGTCTAATAAAAAGTACCTCGAGGTACTGATACCTCATGGTACCTCGAGGTAATTTTTGTTGGACGGAACAAATCTCATCTGAAAAACAATTTTCTTCGGTAAACAGACATTCAAGCCTCTCATGAGCCAATTAAGGTGATCTGACGACTGAAGTTACCACAAATCTCTTTCACACTTCTGTAGTCCAATAGTGATATGTTGGCTTTGTAATGGCCACATATTTCAGCAATTTTATTCATTCCTGGGACGTCATTATGTACACTCTACGTGGTAAAAACTAAGATTAACTGCTACATCATGGGCACTTGGAATTGCCCTGGCTGCTCTTCAAATTGTTGTAGCATGGGCACTCTTCCTTGTTCCCGGACGTGCCGGATGGAACGCACAAGCATTTCTGGCAGCAGATATTGCAGTACTTGAGGCATGGTTCCTGGCGCTTTGTTGCCGAGCAACGGTAGTCGCATTTCTGTGGGCATTCTGCTCATACATCGAAGGAGAGAAAATTCAGAATTAAAAGTAAAAGGTAACTAACATTCTTGACATTTTATATGAGATGGTACAAGAAGATATGAAGCCTTCCAAAGAGTCTGTTAGTTGAGGGAACGGGAAATTGCAATATTTCATACCTTCTATGGAGACAGAACCTTCTGCACCAACCTACATTACAAAAACCATAAATTAAATCATCAGAAAACTACCAGAAGTCCAGCACTCAGAAAATACTGATGTTAATAACTTACTGGTCGGTAAAAGCCTCCATTCGTGCTCCCTGAAACTTCAGCCTGAAAGATATGAACACATCTATATTGTCAATATATATCTTGGGATTGGGAAAAAAATGGTTTTTCACTTCAAAGAAGCTAAAAGAGAGGATGTAGGTTACCACAAAAGCTAACGCGAGCAAGAGGAAAATGGTGGAGAAAAAACGAGCCATTTCTTCTTCTTACTACTTACTGGCTTACTGCAGAAGTGGAGAGTGATTCTTGTGAGAAACTCTGTCTTCTTACCGGCATATATATACTGTCTAGCTGAGCGATCTCTGGCATATGGAACGTCCATAGAAGGACCTGCTAACGGATGGATAAAGAAACCGAAAATTTAAACGGGGGTTTTCAAAACAAATTTAAGATGATAGTAATTGTACAAATAAATTAATTGGCACCACCTCAGATTATCAACAGAGTAATTGTCCACCTTAAAGGCCTGCTAAATGCTAATGGATATATACAGAAACTGAACAAACGGTAGATCTGAACAACAAATTTAAATTATAGTAATTGTCTAAATAAAATAATTGATCATTTCCAAATTAATTGCCCACAGTGTGATTAGTGTGAACTTTTTATGTCTAATTTACCTGCTGATGAAGAGATTTACAAATCAATACTTAGCGGCTTACCAGGCACTTAATGCTTTGGGGCGCTAAAAACAGTCTTCTAAAATGCAAATTCTATTGGAGAGTTTGGGCGCTTATTCTAAAATTCTACTATGCACTTATTTGGAGAGTTTGGGCGCTGGAAAAATGCAAATTCCACACATGGCTAGTCATCTAAAACAGGGTCTGGACCTCCGACCAGCTCACGACTAGAGTATGGCAAAATAATGGACTTTGCGCCCTCTGCCATAGAGAAGTCGAAACGGCTCTGCATCTTGTTGTCAGCTGCAGGTACATGAAAAAAAATATGAAGCCTGATAGCTGTCTAGGTGTCTTACCAACAGCTTGACACTAGACAATGGGAGACGACTCAGACCGTAAAAGCCTGGTGGGAGGCTCTAACAAACATGGTAGAAGTTCCAAAAAGGAGGCTACGCACTCTCATCCTACTTGTCGTTTGGGAGATCTAGAAGGAAAGGAACCAATGAATCTTCAAGCATAACGATGCTATGTTGTCAGTCCTTTTTGCCAAAATCAAGGAAGAGGGGCGGACATGGGCAATGGCAGGAGCAAGGCGCTTACATGATATTTGCCCTACTCTATATAGTGTACTCCCTCCGTACTCGTAAAGGAAGTCGTTTAGGATAATATTTAAGTCAAACCTTGTAAATATAATTCATGAATAACTCTCAAGTCGTTGAGTTTGAAAATGTAAAAATTATATGAATAGATTTGTCTTGAAAAATACTTTTTTAAAAGTATACACATCACTTTTCAATAAATATTTTTATAGAAACAAGAAGTCAAAGTTGTGTTTTGGAGACTGTGTCGCTGTCCAAAACGACTTCCTTTACGAGTACGGAGGGAGTATAGAGCTTTTCCCCTTTTCTTAACCTAAGGGTTATATTTTTCTCCTGCCATATTTAATGAAAAGGCACAGTCTCATGATGTTTTCCCTTTAAAAAAAGGAGATTTACAAATGCACAAAGTAAAAAATATATATGAATTCAGGAGTCTCATGATGTTTTCCCTTTAAAAAAAGGAGATTTACAAATGCACAAAGTAAAAAATATATATGAATTCAGGAAACAACTTTCATCTCTATAACTCAAACTTTTTAATCCCCGTTGAAGTATTTTTCAGGACATTAAAATGAAACATACTCCCTCCGTTTTTTAATAGATGACGCCGTTGACTTTTTCTCACATGTTTGACCATTCGTCTTATTCAAAAAATTTATGCAAATGTATAAGATATAAATCACACTTAAAGTACTATGAGTAATAAAACAACTCATAACAAAATAAATTATAATTACGTAAATTTTTTGAATAAGACGAATGGTCAAACATGTGAGAAAAAATCAACGGCGTCATCTATTAAAAAACGGAGGTAGTATTCACATTCAGCATGTACTGAACTAAAATTTGAGAGCTCCAACAAAAACAATAAATATATCAAATTTCAACAAGAGCTGAAGCAACAATTTACTATCTAGATTTCAGCACATTTAACTCAAATTTCAAAATAATCTCAAGCCAGAATTTGCCAAATTGCGGATATATCTTTGACTTCCCCCAAATCCACCCACCTGCTCCCCAATTGTTCTACAAGCAACTGACATCTATACCATAGACTCATAGTACATACATGCCAATACACATTGCTGTGCCCTGGATAACATTGCATATGTTGATGATCGTATATTGCAGTTCTCCCCTACTAACTATTAAGTTGTATGCGCCATCCAATTCAATTTAAAAGGTTAAAATTGATGAGAGAAAAAAAAAGGACAATGCACTTATTCAATATTACATAGGCATTGAAAATTACTGAAATATGGGCCTAGTGGTATTGGCATTGCTACATATCAGTAGTTGTCATTATTCTAGCAGTATTGCACAGGATTCCGACTGGTTTTCTAGATAATCTATAGTGTTATTGTTTTCTGTCATGCTTTGATTCTTTCTAAATTGTTCTGTCTGTGCTGGTTTTCAGTACTGCTCTAAAAGATTAACAACGTGATGATAAACACACAGCACATTATCAGACGTTGGGTTATTCAGTATGTTCAGATCAATCTAATTTGCATGCTTATTAGTTATTAGTATCGATTAACTCCTCTCTGTACCGATCGATGTTTCGTGTTTGCAATGAGCAGCGTACTATGGATTGGGACGTCATGGCTGAGGTGTACAATCCATGTGGCATCAGCGCGCACATGTCAATCACAAATCATATAAAGAACGATGCAAATGGGCAGAGCAAGCAAGCGATTTGATAAATACAGTAAAGCAGTCTCTCCTCTTGGTGGTCAATTGTTCAGGATGGAACTACTGTATATGTTTGGCACAATGTTTAGAACTGATCACATGCAGCTGCTATCTATCACATTCTCACATGACCTCATTCCTATCAAAGCAGCCTGATACACACTTGGAGCTAATATTACTAACATAGCATATCTTAAGATGTTGGGTAAATGGACCTGAAAGACGATGGAAACTGTTTAACTGATGGTCATCACAAGTTAAAACCTTCAAGACGACCCAAAGATTCATGCCTAAAATTACAGAGGAATCGCAGTAGTGAAATCGTAGGGATATCAGCCAACATACAGGCAACAATGGGGAGAACTACACCATGAAATGAAGAACAAACAGTTTTTGATTTGAGATCAGATTTGTGCTTTCACAGAGCCTTGTAACAATGATCTTCAGCAATACGGTCTCTTGCAAAATTATTGGTACGGGGTACTACGGCAACATAGTACAGGTAATCTGGTATTACATGGTCTCATTTTGCTGTAGTCCATGTAGGAATCGAAAATACTGTAGCTCATAAGATCTTGAACTTTGTACACTTCAATAGTTCAAAACAGAGCCCGACAAGAGACCTATATTGGTATTTTAATTACGCATAACAATCACCTCAGTTGCCACTGGCACACAGACCTTCCAGCTCTGATTTGTCATGAATGTAATTTAGAAAACTCTCGAACTAGTGCATACAAGTGTTCAGCCAGTCAACACTATCAAAAGCAGAACCATGCATTTGGCAGATCGAGAAACATGATCTAGAGTCACTTGGTTAGAAAGCTAGATCAGATAATATTGATTGAATAATTCTAACCCACTTCACAAAAGATAGTCACGCTAGCAATGATAGTTATGACCAGCCAAAGAGAACTACATTATGATCAGGTTAGTATGGCCTGATAAACTAATCTATTAAATTCAATACCATGATGTCTGCTACCTCCTCCGTTTCACAATGTAAGTCATTCTAGCATTTCTCACATTCATATTGATGTCAATGAATCTAGACATATATATCTATATAGATTCATTAACATCAATATGAATATAGGAAATGCTAGAATGACTTACATTATGAAACGGAGGGAGTACCACACAGCATGGAAGTTTAGTTCATCACATCAGTTATAGCCACAAATGAAACACTAGCTTTTGAAATAAAACATACCTAATATCAGAACAACGTACAATATGCAGTAAATACAGACCGAGCATCTATAAAAGTAACATGACAATGCAAAGTACAGAGAGATAGCAGGTTGATCAGAGCTATTTCAATTGAACAAACGAAACAGTCATGGTGTACTTCCTTCTCTCCCGTGGTACAAAATGTCACTAAAAGAATCTATTATAGTCTTTGCAACTCACAGCCTGCCCCAGAACCCAACCCAGTTCTTCCTACAATTGTCATCCTAAGAACCAGCTAATGGAACTAGGATTTGAACGCTCAGCTATGGGGAAGCCAATAGAGTGGAAGGGTTTTTTCAATACAAGCTAATTAATGATCGTTTTGTTTCACTTGAAGGACGTGCTGAGCAAAACGAGCCTCTCAGACCTGATGAGTTAAGCACTGGATCTAGAACAATGATACACACCGTCAGAAGAAGGCCATGAAGAAAATGAATATCCAATCATCTTGCACTGCTTGTGTTGCCACTCCGACCTCGCGAAGACTTGCTGTTGCTACTGCCATGCTGCTTCTGCTTACCAGCAAACCCAGGCATGTAGTACTCGAGATACCACCGCACAAACTTCTTAACCCCTGTTTGAAGATCAGTTGACGGTCGGTACCCAAGCTCCCGCTGAGCAAGACTGATGTTAGCATGTGTATATGGCACATCACCATTCCTTGGCATCTTGACAATCTTCCTCACCGCTTTCACCTTGAGCAACTTCTCCAGTAAATCCACCAGCTGTGTCACCGGCACAGGAGATGTGTTCCCCAAATTGTATGTCCTGAATGGTGCCGGCCCTCGCTTCTTGCCTCCACTGCCTGTGCTACGCCCGGCTGTATCCAATGCCCCAACACACCCCTTCACAATGTCATCAATATAGGTGAAATCTCGGGAAATGGTGGTCTGGTGTGTGCCTCCACCTGCACTTTCATACACGGTGATTGGCCGACCAGCAAGAATGTCCCGGGTGAAGAAGAAGTATGCCATGTCTGGGCGCCCCCACGGCCCATACACGGTGAAGAAACGGAGCGCCGTGAGCGAGAGCCCATAGATGTGGTTGTAGGCATGAGCGATCTCCTCACCGGCCTTCTTGGTCGCTGCATACAGAGAGGCGGGTCGGTCCGTCCTGTCATGTTCGGAGAAAGGCACATGGGAGTTGAGCCCGTACACTGAAGACGACGACGCCCAGACGATCGCCGGCTGGGGATTCGCCATGCGCGCCGCCTCGAGCAGCGCCACGAACCCGCCGACGTTGGCGCGCACGTAGGACATCGGGTCAACGAGCGCGTGCCGAACGCCCGCCTGAGCGGCGAGGTGGAGGACGTGGGTGAACGGCACGACGTCGAACAGCTTGGCGAGGAGCTCCGCATCGGCGATGTCGCCGTCGACGACGTAGACCCCCGAGCGGGCGAGGAGCGCGGCGCGGCCCCGCTTGAGGGCGGGGTCGTAGTAGTCGTTGAAGTTGTCCAGCCCAAGCACGCCGTCGCCGCGGCGGCGGAGGGCGGCGGCCGCGTGGCAGCCGACGAAGCCCGCGGCGCCCGTGACGAGGACGGTGAGCCCCCGCCCGTTGGCCCGCCTGACGCGCGCGGACGCCCGCACCTTCTTCTCCCATGCGGCGCCGCCCCACGTGGCGGCGGCGGACGGGGAGGACGTGTGGAGGGAGCGGCGCGGGGAGTCGGGCGCCGCCCGCGGGGCCGGCGCGGCGGAGGGGGAGAGGAGGAGGAAGGCGAGGAGGAGCGAGAGGGAGCAGACGGACCAGAAGGCGAGCTTGGAGAGGAGCGAGGTCGGCGAGGGGTGGTGGTGGCGCGTGGCGAGGCGGTGGTGGTGGAAGTGGTGGAACTGCGGCTTGACGGACGCCGCGCCGCCCGCCGCCCCCGCCGTGCCGGGCGCGCCGGTCAGCTGCGGCGCCATCTCCCGATCTGCCGCAATGTGGATTGAGCTCCTCGTCGGATCTCGCGAATTTGGGTGGGGTTGGGGAGAGAGATATGTGGGGGGGGGGGGGGGGGGGCACTCGTGTTTGAAGGGCTTTTCGCTTCCGTTTCCACGAGGAGATGGTTTTGATTTGTTCCGCCGTCTTCGTTTGCTGGGATTTGGTTTTCGGGCCGCTACATTTGGGGACAAATACGGCTCCCTTCCTTTTTACTACTACTCCTTTTCATTCTTTTTCATTTTCATTTTAGTAGATCTACTGCAGTATCCGGTGCTGTGCGTGCAGCGTGCTTCGTGCTTGGGACTCGCACTTTCGCCGAATATTTCCTCTCTTTTTTTTATATATCTCTCGCAAAAACAAATTAGCAATGTTTTTCTTTTTGAAAAGGTTAAAAACAGGGTTGTACAGCGAGTACGATCCTAGGATCACGCTGGATGTAACGAGACAAAGGCCACTCCACGCGAAACAATTGCAGATACATCTGTTCAAACAGTGCGCAGAAGTTTCGAAATCCAAACTAGTAGTACGTGCAGGTGCAGTTGCGAACTTGCCGTTGCGGTTGCCGTGGCACTCGAGTCGACTTACCAGTCGCGAGATTTTGGTGTAGTTTGGGTTGTTGGGGGAGCTCTTCCCTCCCCTCCCCCTCCCCTCCCCTCGCTCGGCTCAGCTGTGGCCACGGGCTCATTTGCTCATAATCTTAGGCTAATCGTTATCGTTTGGTGAGATTTCACAAACTGGGAAGACACGAGATGGTCCTCTCCCCTGAAGGCTGAGGAGATAAGGATCGGATTTTGATTTCGGCCCCAAAACCGGATGAAGCACACTGTCGGCGATCGGCAATCAGGTTCCCGTGCCGTGCCTGCCTATCTCCCGTTGTCACCAACTCACCACACGCGTCATGAGCGCGAGCTCCTCTGAAATGCATGATTCTAAACATACATGGATAGAAAAAACATACAATTGGTATGTCATGTGCTACCGAATCTTCTAAGAATCATAAATACAGGAATATGAAACATGCCTTCTTTGGGTGGTTCAAAGGGAAACTTGGTGGCTTATTGAGAGAGTAGAGAGAAAGAGATAAGTTGTACAAGACTTCTCATAGGATAAAAAAGTGTTTAGTTCACGCTAAAATTAGAAGTTTAGTTGAAATTGGAACGATGTGATGGAAAAGTTGAAAATTTATGTGTATAGGAAAGTTTTGATGTGATGGAAAAGTTGAAAGTTTGAAAAAAAAGTTTGCAACTAAACACGGTGAAAGTGGTTTGAGCTCATTACCTAGTTTCCTATGAAATTAGTGTGTAGAAACTCAATTCATGGGAATTTTGTGGGTTCAATTCCTTTGTTCCAAATGGCATGCGTAGAAAAAATTCCTAGGGGTTGCAATCCAAAGGAAACATTATTGTCTTCATCGATCAAATGCATTGGTCAAAAACACTGCTGTTTACTTACTGACGGGAAGAAGTAAACGGGGGCTTAAAAAAATTGTCCATGCAACCGGGGGAAATCAGATGGAATATGCGTCACGTATGGAGTACAGTGCAAGGTTAAGTAAAAGCCCTTTTTATTCTGTCTTGAGCATCAAGCGTCGTCGATGTGCAATGGACAGCACAGCAAGTTGAACACCAAGTTCCACGATAGATCAGATCGTTCTCCCAAGATCTTGTCGGTCAAGCCGGAGGCGTGGTTCCTTCCTTTTCTCCTTGGCAACACATCTCGATGCTCCCAAGGAAGGAAGCCGGTACTGCGTATGTGGCCCCAGACGAACCTCCACGGCGAGAGAAAGTGACACAGGTTGACGATCACCGAGTATTTTTACTGATGGAAGTTCGGACGAGTGGACATATTCGCCGTGGCGACGTCAATGGCTGCAACAGCAACAGGCAGAGAAGATTATTTTGCCATGGCGACGCCAATGGCAGCAACTGCAATGTCACATTTGTCAATGGCAATTGGGAAAAGCCACGCAGTGGCATCAGTGGCCAGCTTACTGCAGGGGCTTTGTAGGGATTTCAGTCTTAGCCAAAATAAATACTGCAGTTGTGTTATGTAGCACTCTGTTGCACTGGCCTATTTCCTAGTTTTATGTCGTGTCACACGTAACCTCCAAAATATATCCTATGTACATAGGCCATATATCCTATGTACATAGGCCATGTTTGGTTCTATGGGCTAATGTTTAGCCCTCACCTTTTAGCCTCAAATTAGCTCTCAAGGATCCAAACAGATGGCTAATTTTGGGCTAATATGAATTAGCCCCCCTCAAAACATTAGCTCCTCCCCTCCAAGAGGTGCTAATGAGGCTAATTTTGTGTGGGGACCATAAAAAAGCAGCTCTCTCTCTCTCTCCTTCTCTCCCATCTCTTTCTACTCTCTCTCCACCTTTTAGCCTTGAATTAGCCTATGAATCCAAACATCCACCCTAGGCTAATGTTTAGCCTAGCAATTCATGACTAAACATTAGCTCTCAAAATTAGCTCTGGGCACGTTCTTCAAATAGTAATGTGTCCAAGAAATAGGATATGTTCCCTAACCTCCAACCACACATTGCATAGAATCATCTCCACATCGAAAACTTTGGTGCAAGTAACAATCAAGAAATCCTGCGTGACACACATTTGGGGCCAAAGAATAAAAGTGAAAATGATATGTAAACGACCAAACAGCTATAGATGACAGCACAGGACGGAAGCTGAGCCAGAGTGTCACCCTCCATCGAGGTGTGTTGAGAAACAACATAGATTACTCCTGAACAAAGAAGGTGCCATTGCACAAGGACCAATTTAACACGCGACACACAACAACAAACATTCTAGCGCACAAAACTAGAAGGTAAATAATCTCGGCATTGCATCATTACACATCTGCTATTGTCACCTCAACCTCAACACCAGGTTCAATTGTTATGGAGGTTATCTGCTTCACCACATCAGGGGAGCTGATAAGGTCAATCACCCTCTTGTGGATGCGGAACTCAAACCGATCCCAGGTGTTTGTTCCTGATAAACACAGAGAATGTGATTTGGTGAAGTTAATCTCATGACACAAGAATATTCAAAATGGGCAGGTGTACAATATTAGCATTCACAAGAAGGATAAATCAAGTTAGACATGGCATTACTAGCTCAAGCACTCCTTAAATTAGAGAACAGGCTACAGTTTGACATGGACAACTAAAAAGGTAGAGATAATTGTATGAAGACCATAAAAAGGAAGCACTAACATGATATAGTGTACCCGTGCAAGGTACTGACCAAAACCTTTTGATATGGCATTCACAGAGAAACAGAAAAACTAAACCAGAAATTTGTTGTTCATGCTACACAAACATGTACGTTCAGAGGCTTCAAGGTTGGTAAAGGTCAGAATCATGATTGATAACTGGAGCCCAACATGTTACATGCTACAACACTTCATGATTGAGTTTATATCTAGACTCTTTTCTTTCATTTAAAAAACTACTGCTCTTATCAATAAACTTGAAACAAAAAGAAAAAATGTAGCAGCTGGAATCATAGAAATACAATACCTTCACCACAGGGAGACTTGCGGGTAGTGATGTGGAGCACCTTGGTGGGGATCCTAACTGGCCCCTTTACCCTAAGCTGCTTGTCCTTGGCCCCCTTCACTAGATCCGCACAAACTGCAAATACATAGATATATGAGATGACAAATTCAAGTCTATGGGAAGAAATTCAGAGCACCTTTTATAGTATATCATACCAAATTACATAGGAGGTAATAGCATATTCGATCACAATTCACAATGACGGTGAGGAAAACCCAAAGACCAGTCCCAACTTGACTAGCCCAATCCTTGATTGGACACACCTCAACAGACAAAATGTTCAGCAATACACAAGATATCAAAATTGGGTATAACAGCTTGGTCCAATTTGCAATGAAGAGTAACAGGAGCAAATATTATGAACGGCATTCGCCAATCGGCTCTCCCACACTCCAACCATATTGTATTGATGAACAGATATACAAAAGATTTAAATTGCTCCGATAATTCAGCGGTTACAACACCGTATGCCACAACTTGACAAACAGACCAAAAGCACATCCAGTCAACTATATACAGTTCTCATACAAATCTAAAGGTGCACAGTGACTAGTAAACTACTTCCTCCGTTTCACAATGTAAGTTAGTATTTCCCACGTTCATATTGATGCTAATGAATCTATATAGATATATATGTTTAGATTCATTAGCATCAATATGAATATGGGAAATGCTAGAATGACTTACATTGTGAAACGGAGGGAGTATCACGGTATAAGCAAAGTAAAGCGACGGGACCAATTGCCCAATTAAGAGCAGTTCACGAGATTGAGTCGAAGCTGTGGTGGGGGGTTTTGCCGGCTGGCTTACCTTTCTCGAGGTTTTTGACGTTCTTGGACGAGAGGGTGATGCGGATGCGGTTGAGCTGCAGCTCGTGGGCCTCCTCGACGCCCAGCTTCCCGCCCTTCATGCCGCCGTACACCGCCGCCGCCGCCATGTTGCTCTTGCGGAAGGGTCTCGGTCGGCTGCTCGTGCTCGAGGCGTCGGTGGCTTCGATTAGGGTTTCGGCGTTTGGTTCGAGTATTTACATGCGACTAGTGGCTCGGCTCGTCTCGGCCCAACTGCAGCCAGGCTCTGCAGTTTTGGACCAGCCCAGCATGTTTCCCTTCTCGCTTTAGAAAATTCTCTTTCCTTTTCATACTTGTTCATTGATGATTGGTTCATCTTGAGATACTATTTTTTTTAGCCACAACTCGCAAGTCGCGAAAGGAAATGCTATCGCATAACGCATATCTTCTTTTTCACAACATCGCAGAAAGAGTACATAATTGATAATTGATTTGTTTCATCGCACAAAGAGTACATAATTGATTTGTTAGTCTGAAGAGAAGTTGAATCATAATCCGTATTATGCTAGTGTGTTCTCAAGCACTATATAGAGGCCTGCACATTTTCATCTCGTCGTCCGTCAACAATTTTGTTACAAGTTCTATTGGCGGGACGTGCTATTTACATGCTCAGAAATTTGGGGCCAGGTTAATAATTCGGGACAACTAATAAGCAACGACTTCACATGACAATTGACATGGGTGTCGTTCGGTGTTTTCAGATTGTAAAGATAGGGAAAGGTAGAAATATGTCCCAATTCCATCCAGTTTGGCATTTAAATCTTTAAATCCTAAATGATAACACAACAGTGCCATGATATACAAGGGAAAAGAGAACATATTTCTTTTCCCGATTTCCCCTCCTATCTGTCAGATCAAAAGTATCGAACTAATTTCACTCGATTCACCATCATGCTCTACAAGTTACATTCTTGACCAGCAGCAAGACCTTTTTCTCACAAAAGTTACCATCGATGCTCCCTAGAGATGTTGATCCTATAGAACAAGAAAGAGGGAAAGGAAGTAGAAGAAGCAAGTATTGCGAACCAAGCAGCATCAGTGGTAATCTACAGACGAACCAATGACATAGTCCCCTCAAGGAACGGAACAAGTAAAATGAACATTCTGCTTCTAATGTCCATTTTCTTGGATCTCGTCTTCTTCCTCAGCATCCTCGAAACGCTGGTCATCAATTTGAAGCTGCAACAGCAAAAAACCAACGATGTCAGAAAAGTTTATCACTCGCACAAAGACAGTTCTAGGTTCATATGATGCAAGTCGATAATGTCAATGACAGATTCAGTACAGTTTAATAGGAAAGGAATCCTGTTCATTTGAATGATAGTACTAAGTACTAACATTGTTGATATACTAACAAGAAAGATTTAGGGAGTTCCAAAAGAAAAAAAAAGTCAATCTTAATAAATATATTAGCACAACATCAATAAATGATTAAAATTACAGCTGAACAAAACCAGGAACTGTCTCTCATCAGGTTACCTAGTAATGTGCTAAACTTGACAACATTAACCAATTCAGTGCATACCTCACGTACAGAACGACCAAGGTCATGTAGACCATTTTGGCCTATCAAGTTCGTAAAGAACATGTGGGCTTCAAGATCATTTCCTGCATGAAGTATCAACAGCTACAATGAACATCAACAGCAAATGCAGTCAAAATGTATCATGCATACCTACCATCAATCATGTCTTCATCACCATGAATCCACCCACCCTCAGCCATATTTTCACCACCGGACCAGCCATTCTCTTCATTGCGCACTGGGGAATTCAAGACAGTCAAGACTTGTTGAAGAGCTCTTTTTTAGTAATGAACTGTAATTTACATACTACTAGTACTTACCAGCATTAGGATCAGGGTTCAGTTCAGCACAATGGCAGAAGACATCGAAAAGTGCATCAACTGAAAAACTTTGTAAAGGATCCAAAACTTACGCAGAAAATGACAAGCAGGTTCAGTTCTGCTAACATAACTGAAACTGATTTGGGCTATACATCTGTTATTTATTCGTGAGGTTACTTTGTACTAACATTTTCATAAAATAGAAACAAACTGCTAGCAAGTAAAATTATGTCTTGATCCTAAAGTTTTTTTCTAGAATTTCATAAGAATAAACCATGGAAATTTAGTTGATAATCTCCAATTAAACGCCTCAAGCATGACTGCGAAAACACATGTATCACAATTCACACATCAGAAAGATAATGAACTCCAATTGGTTCCCTGAACAGGTTATTACTTAAAAACCATATAAATAGGGATAAAATGATGAAATAATTGTGGTGGTAGTGGAAAGCAAATAGGAGTAAGAAGAGTCTCCAGAAGATGGTTTTGAAGTATTACACTAATAATACTTGAAAAAATAAATCAGCTGGCGTATATAAACTCAAGAAAGAAGGCATCAGAGCTAAAATTGTGGGAAACAACATTATTTGAATGTGACAGAGATGTTTATAAGGATACGTTGACCAGGGTCTGAAAGTATAATGCGCATCTCAGAGACTTTTGCTAGCTGCAGATCACCATTTGCTTCGAAATCTGATCCACCAGCCTCCTCATCAGAGCCATCTTCTGCGTCAATCTTCAAATTAAACAAACAGAATATCAGACATTGCCATTACCATCAGGGAACTCAAACAGGAAACTAAGCCACCTTACAGACACTATTGTACACCCACTCAGAACAAATAGCAAAGTAGTGATCACCCAGGAATCAAGACACAAATTAGTTTATGAACTTTTCACGCACAGAAGTTACTTTTGTTTTTTTCTAAGATTGGATTAGTTCAAGACGGACCACATTGTCATAGCGACATGTGACACCAATCATACAATCGATGAACTATGTGCCAAACAAATATACAATTCATGGCTCACAAAACAAAGCTCAGGATCCTCCAAGCTGCAAGATATTTTTAAAATAGGAGTATATTGGAAGTAGCAAAATAATGATTGCTGATCAAAAGAGCACATGTTGAGCTGAAATTACCAACCCCACCATCATCACCACTACATAACTAAAAACACCCAGAGGATTGAACAAACCATTTCAAGATCAGTCCAGGCCTCCAGGGCTCCAACCAGTACACACACCCCAACAAATTAAACATATGTAAAAACATAAGAGCTACACCTAATGGACCATTTGCCCAGTTAGACCACAGAGATAATAAAATGGAGAGTTCGTTTCCCCAATCACCTGCGTGTAGATGCAAGGGGAGGGGTACGCCTCCAGGTCGCGCGACACAGCATGGAGCGTGATGGCGAGGAAGTCCACCGCATAGCCTTGGCCCTTCTCCGTCTCGCTAAGCCAAATCACCCTCCTAAAAACGAAAAAAAAAAGGCACAACGTGAACGGGATGGTAGGCACAAATGCGCAAAATAAGAGATAAGGACACGGCGGAAGCATCAGTACGCTACCAACCTGGTGGTGACGAACAGGGTACCCGGGGGCTCCGGCGCGCGGCGGCCGAGGGCGACGGAGGCGGCGCGGTCCATGCGGAGGAGCTCCTCGCCGGAGGCGGCGTCGAGGCGGGGCCCGCCGTCCCCGGCGATGTCGGTGAAGCGCTGGAGCCCTGGCGCCATGTGAACAGGAGCTAGGGTTTCGGGCTTTGGAGCGTGGGAGATTTGGGGATTCTTTCGAAAGGGTTTAGCGCCGCCGTGGTGGGAAGCGGCGTGTGCGGGTGTGGACAGTGGACAGCGCGCTTCTTCTGCTTACGACCAATAAAAAACCTCCCTGCTGCGTTTTATAGGCACGCGCGCACGCTTGGATATGGAATGGCTGAAAATTTGAAGTTTTGGGTTTTTTTAAACAAAAGAAGACTATTTAAAGATTGAATAAAAACTTTGTAAAAGGAATCCGACATTAGCGTAAATTTTATTAGCGTTAAAGCAAAACATCTCGACACTATATACTTTGACGTTAAGAATATTTTCACATTGCCATAAAATCCATATTAACAGGGGAACACAATCAATGTTTAGGTGTTGGATCTAACCTCACATCCAAGTTAGAATATTGAGAGACTTATTTAACCAACAATGTTCTCATGTGAATATGTGAATATGGGTGTGTTTGGAACTCCAAGTTCCCAACTTCATTTGCTTCGTTTTTCGCGCGCACGCTTTTAAAACTGTTAACCGGTACGTTTTTTTAAAAAAAGTTTCTACACGAAATTTGCTCAAAAAATTATATTGAATCATTTTTTAAAAAATAGCGAATACTTAATTGATTACGTGCTAATGAACCGCTCCGTTTTTCATACGTATTGTTTGGGATGGAAACCGGCATATGTGAACACAGCCATAGTGTGGTGGCAATATGTTGCTCTTTTATTCCAACAAGCCATGCTCAATTCCTAACGGAAACATTAGTTTGTGTATTGTATTACTTTATTTATTTATAGCAGTGTATTATGTTTTCAAGACCGTAGAAGTTATATCTCAGTATAGTTGTACCAAAATAAGTTCATTTTTAATCAATCTCACATATAACAATATAAAAGTAAAAAAAAATAGAATACTCTCACTTTACCAAAACTAAGTGGAATTGTCCCCACTTTATTTAATTTCAATGGTTGTTCAAAATGATGTTATTTTTGGGACAGACAAGAGGAGACACAGATGACTTGTTATGGGTACATTTGTACATCAAGGTTTTCAAAAGCGTGGACAACAAAACTGCAGGTCGGAATGGTCTCTTTATTTTACGGTCAGCTACCAGCTCTTGATCCCTCGGCCGCACGTCTCTGCCGCCCAATCCTGAGTAAAACCAATTCCAGACGTTGGATCCTGCATTGCATTGTCACAATGTCACTTGAGCGCAACGGCGCAACGACCGGGCTATGAAGCCACTTGACGACCACATCGCATATCGCATGCGATGTGTTTTCCGTGCGTTGATTTGGATTTTGAGGCCGTGTTTAGTTTCCCAAATTTCTAACTTTCCATCATATTACGTCACATCGAAAACTTTTTTACACACATAAACTATCAACTTTCTACTAACTTCCTAACTTTTCCACCATCTAAAGACAGCCTAAGTTTACTGCTCTGAGTCTTAAAATAAGAGTTTATTTTACTGTTCCATCTAAATGCGTTTAATTGAGCGCTACTCTCTCTGTTTTAAAATATTGTTATCTTTTAGATATAATATTTTAAGATAGAGAAAAGTAGTTCCATTGACCACTGTACGGTGTGGTGATCCCACCCCCGCTAGTCCGCTACAGCGAATGTGGCCGGTCCCCTACTTCGGCCGAGGCACCGAGGGGAAAACAAATCGATGGACGCACACGCTCGCCAGGCGCGCCAGTGCGGCGCCGCGCCACGGTCCGGAGTTCTGTTTTTCTTCTACGGGTTGCGTCTCGTCCGACGTCAAATCGCCGGAGCGATGAGACGGTGTGCAGGGGATGGAAGCAAACGTATGGTGACTTGACCGCGGGCGCTGGACTGCTGGCTGTGGCGAACTGGTCCTCTTGACTGGCCAGTCAAAGGGAGACCACTGTACTGTCTGCGTGACACCCCCCCGTGCCCGTGCCCTGGCACGGTCGGCGCGGATGACGAGGGAGGGGAGCCGCACGGCAATGGAACGGCACCATACACTGGCACGCCGCCCGCCCGGGCGACCCGCGAAGCCGTGTAGGAGTTGTACGGCGCGTATCCGCAGGGAGGCACCCACCCGCGAAGCCGTGTGGAGTACTCCCTCCGTTAAAAAAAACAAACCTTGTTTGCGTGTTTAACGTTGGACTGTCCGTCTTAATTAAAAAAATTATAAAAAATTAAAAAGATAAGTCACGCATAAAATATTAATCATATTTTCTTATCTAACAATAACGAAAATACGAACTATAAAAAATATTTATATAAGACAGTCAAAGTTAGACATAGGAACCTAGGGTTTGACTTTTTTTTTTTTTGAAACGGAGGGAGCAGGCGCAGTACGAGGCACGCGGAGGCACGCACGCCACTGTGCTCGCGCACGGCTGACACCTGCCCTGCCGAGTGGCAGTGTGGCACAACTCACAAGGCCTGCCTCTGCCAGTAGTCCCCTGACCTCTCACTCTCCCCCTCACTGTCTCGGCTGCTAGCCTGAAACGGTGCAAACCTACTGCTGTTACTGACGCGTGATTGCGTGTATGGCTCTTTAAGCTGCCCCCGTGAGATGAGATGGTGTGGAGCAGCTTGCCTTGCCGTGACGCGAGGCTACAATTCAATGGTTGACGAGAACGGTAGCGCACGCACGTACACGTTGGGGGAATTACACTAGCAACCGGAATGTTGTGTCAGAAGTATTGCCGGTTCCACGGCACACATTTGGTCGTGCAACACGTCCATACCATACCGGTATACCAGAAGGCGTGACAAGCTGACGGCGCGTGCAGGTGATGGTTGTAGCATAGCCCATCGCCTTGGCAGCACAATGCCTACTCTCTTTTTTTAACACGCATATCACCCGTACCCATGCCCATTGTTACCGCGCGATGCATCCAGTGTTCCTAACTGTGCATATGTGGATATGCCAAAGTTCATCAATGTTTAGCACAGGCACGCAAACACTTTATAATTGGGTGAATGATTGTTACAGTAGCATGTGATGCATGTGATAAGTTCAGGGATCAGGACCACTGACAAACAGTGCATTTTAGGACAAAAGGCAGTGTTTTCCCGTCAGATGCTACCTTCCAATTGATGGAGCAAAAACTGGCTCTGAAACTCGCCATATTCACCAATACGTCTTCACCGGTTTGGAACTTGTTCCTGTCGCGCATGGATATTTACTGCCACAAGGATCAGGTGAGCCCTATCTCCACGCTCAAGAACCACGCGGAGCAAATACTAGTTGTCAGAACCTGAGTTACTATCACATTGATATTAGTGATAGGAACATTTTGGGACCAAAAAATGGGGATTAAGGCAGGGAAAGCAATAAGGGTTTACCATGCGGGAAGCTTGATCACCTCAAAAGGGCACGAAATACAGGTATGATTTTAAGCAAAATAACTTGCAGTCAATCCCAGCTAGTCCTGTTCCTCCTAAATTCCTTTTTCTGCGAAAGCACTTTCTTCTTCTGAAGTCTCTTCCTTTCAGCGGCTGCAGCACTGAAATGAAATACACAGCAGCAACTGAATAAACGAGTGTAATTCGACAATTTATAGTTCTCAAGTGTGAGCTAGAGATATGACTACAAAGATTCAGAGTTCGCATATGCAAAAATGTTTCTTTGATCTCCTAAAAACTAACATTGCACAAGTTCAAAGGTTGGCTAATCTCAACCGCTACTAACTGTTTGCACTTTGGAGAGTAATGCGGTATCTTTTATAGAAGCGTATGTAGCTACTTGCACACACTTGTTACATTTTTTTAAGAAAGCAGATCTATACACACTTGGTGCATTCAATTACACAAATAGTATTATTAATCTACAACTGGATAATAAAATATCAAACATCATCAGCACATTGCAGAAGTAATGATGACTGCATTGGACTTTCTAAAGAAATAAAATAACTGAAAACAACGGAAATTGAAGGGAGCAGATGGAAGAAAAAATAGCAGCTTACATTTTTTCAACCTTCTTCTTTTGCTCTTCTGAAGGGGGTGGAGGTACATAGGATGCAGCATCAATGATTGCCTGTTAAGGAGATACTTGTTTAGTTAAAAAGCTAGGGGAGCACAATAACATGAAGCCTCTGCAAATTACTTCCTGACAAAGAACTGAAATGAGTAAAGCATACCTGTATTTTCTGCAAAGCATCTTCAATGTTTCCCCTAAAAGGATAAATTGTGTCAGTTGCTGTCCAAACAAGACAATCAAAAGAACTGAGTAACATTTACTTTTGTGTCCTAGTTTTTGTAGAAGATATCACAAGCTCCCCATCTTTATTTATCCGGTTCTTTTCCTGTGTATACCAAGCAAATATAAACAACCTCTTGAGACAATACAGAAAAAATGACAATGAAGATTTGCAAAAGAGGAAGATTTTTTTTATACCGTTTGTAATATCCGTTCTTTGATTCTCTCACCAAGCCACTGAGCCTCTTTTACATTGAACCGCATGTCGACCTTTGTGTTAACTGAAAATCGATATCAAGTATTTTAGAACAAAGAGGCGAACATAAATGGGGGAAAACACGGAACATTGATTGGATAGCAGGGCATTATGGTCATTATTTGAAAATTCTGAAGACAAGGTGTATGCTTTAGAACCAAAAAACAATCATGTAATCATGCTGAGTAGCAAATAAAATATGCTACTAAATTTTTGAACATTTTAAAAATACCAGACCAATCCCTTGGTCAATGCTGAAGTAAGGCTAAGTTCTTTTCAGAAAAATCGAACGAGCAACCTTCTTTTTTTTTTCCGTTAGCATATGTTTCCCAAACTGCTAAACGGTGAGTTTTGTGCAAAAATTTCTATATAAAAGTTTTTTAAAAAATCAAATGGATCCATTTTTTTTTCAAATTTATATTAGTTATTACGTAATTAATCATGTGCTGATGAGCTTTCTCGTTTCACGCGTGACTGAAAACCTCATCCTAACTGCCCAAGTGAACACACCCAATATTAATAAAAAAATGTTGTGCAAAAGGAAAACCAATGTTATAGTATTACGAAAAGAGGAAGTATGAAAACAATGATTCACGCAAACAAACAGATTAGGAAGTGAAAGCAAGAAACCTTTATTGACATTCTGACCACCAGCCCCCCCACTTCTTGCAAAGTTAAGAGTAACATGATCTGCAACCATAAACAGGGTAGATCTCAAAACAGGTTGACAAATAATGCAAGTATTAACACAATCTATTAATAAGCTTGCAGCTTATCAATTCCTCATATCTTTATTTCATCCTTTCAAGTCTATGTACATTAAATACACGTCAATCAGGAATAGAAAATGTACTATGTGAGGAGATGTGTACAAAACCATTTACATTGAAACATCTTGATCAACATATAACAAAATGTGCATTCAACTTTTACTATCACATAGCAACAGTTAGACAAGATGTTCCAATACCTGTTAGATCAATTTATAGAGATATTCCTTTCAAAAATTTACAGAGACATGCTACTGCTAGATAGAGAGTATTGTACAGAGTCTTTCTTATTATTAGTAGCGCCAATTTTGCTACAGTACACCCGAAATTTGTGTAATTTGCTGATAGACATCGAAAAAATGTGTCACGGATGAAAAACATCCTAAAAAACTGGTAATTTTCTAGAGGACATTTTCGGCTCAATTGGATAGATACATTCTTAAGAAAGACGATAATGCCCCTAGGACCACATGCTTCAAACATGGTGTTAGAGTAAAAATTTAGAAATTATGCAACTCTAAATTTGCCATCACCCCAAGTACATTACTTGCATACATTATATTCCATCCTCGCTCCAGTCTTAGCTCAAAAGGTTTTGATCCTAGGGGCATTCTCGGCTTTTTGAGGAATTTCAATCTCCAATTGAACCGAAAGTGTCCTCCACTAAATTAGAGTGTCGTTCGGACATAACACGTTTTTACGATGTCTACCAACAAACAACATAAATTTTGAGTGTTCTCTAACAGATTTTGTCTTAGTATGTATAGCCATACAGCAGCAAACCTAGGTGCTTCTTAAGCTAATTTAGCTATTAGCATGCTTTTCAAACTATTGGTTACTGTCAACAAACAGGATTAACAAAATGCAAGTCAAATCTTGTTCATAGCTAGAATTCACCACATTGTCACCTCTAACCAACATATACCGTTAAGCTGTCAAAATTATCCTTAGCACGAAATGGATGTAGGAAGTAGAATATACACCTGAGTCACGAAGTATAACTCGATAGGGGCTACTGGCTAGGCAGAGATAATGATGAGATATGAGATCCCCAATTCTCACCGAGCAGACTCATCGACCGTTTACACATAGTACTTCGGAGTAGAGATATTAGCCTAAGCTACTGAATTTTCCGTTTGACCAATACAATATGAATACCAACACCAGCTGTTTGTTAGGATTTGACGTTTCAATTCTTCATATGTAGGACATCGATTGAGCATCATTACCAAGCATATGTGTAACACAAATTAGGGGCAATAGTGGAGTTGCAGATTATTACCCAAAGTGATCTTGGGGGCGGGGTCGGAGCCGGCCGAAGCGGCGCGCTCCTCGGCGTCGCGAAGCACCTGCTGGGTCAGCGCCAGGCGCGCCGACACCTTCCTGCCCCCGTCGTCGCCGGCCTCAGCCGCCGAGCACCGGAGGCGGACCAGCGCGCCCCGGCCCACGCCGAGGGCGAGACCCACGGTGGGGGCAGGCGACGAGGGGCCATGGAACAGGAGGGAGGAGACCTGGCGGAAGCCGAGTCGCAGGAAGGTGGTGCTCCGCATGGCGGTCGCCATTAGCCTTCGTGTGGAGGACGCCGAGCGACGGAAATTGGGGGCCACGGCTCCACGGCGAAGCTCGAAGCAAGGCAAGGAGAGAGGCCGAGGGGAGGTGGAGATTGATTTGGGCCTATGTGGGCTTTCCGCTGTCATGTGTGTTCGCTAATGGGCCTACACAATTCGAATGTGTGGGCCACAAGGAATAGAAGAGAAAGCAAAACCAAAGCAAGTGCAGGGCCAGGAATGCTGATGGGCAATCGATCGCTATAGGGATGGGGTAGCAATAGATCTACTCCCCTCTCTCTCCCTCCACCCCTCCACATGGTTTCTTTTTTTTTTGGCACCGCATTACTTTCCTATTTTAGTAAATTTATACACCTCAAGTTTACACATATAAAGTTTAGAGACCAAAAGTTTATAAGTCAAAAGTTTATATATCCGATTCAAATTTGAATTTGAATTCAAATATTTTTTTATATATAGTATTTCTATACATCTAAAGTTTATACACCTAAAGTTTATTGACCTAAAGTTTATAAGTCAAAAGTTTACATACCCGTTTCAAATTTGAATTTGAATTATATCCTATTCAAATTTGAATTTGAATTATATCCTATTCAAATTTGAATTTGAATTCAAATATTATATATATAGTATTTCTATACATCTAAAATTTATACACCTACAGTTTATGGACCCAAAGTTTATAAATTAAAAGTTTACATACCCGATTCAAATTTGAATTCAAATATTTTCTATATATAGTATTTCTATACATCTAAAAGGTGTATTATACACCTAAAGTTTATAGACCCAAAGTTTATAAGTCAAAAGTTTACGTACCCGATTCAAATTTAAATTTGAATTCAATTTTTTTATATATAGTATTTCTATATATAAATTTTTCTAACCTTTTATTTTTTTAAAAAAAATTGTGTGGTGTATAAGAGAAGAAGGGGAGGAGGAAGGAGGGAGAAGAGGGAGGAGTATAGGGGGAGGGGGGAGGGGAGGCGAACTGATTACCCAGCGCGATCACTGACGATCGATCGCCCATTAGAAGGCCCGTGCAGGGCGGTTAAGATCGTTCGAGTGTCCAATCAAAGAGTTGGATATTTAATCAGGCATGCTGCATGCACTCCTACAGGTTGAGTAACGTCCAAGGTTAACCACAAAAAGGCGAGATCTCGCTTTTGTATAGTAATGGAAAAAAGGCAATTTGCATAGGTTGCTCGTGCCAAACAAAAACTGTCTTTACTCAACAAATCAAAGCTACAAACACGAACGAAATCAACATAAAGTTGGGACAAAGTCCCCCGTATTCACACAAAAGTAAAAATGCAGGTCCTGTTTTAACCACACAAATACAGTAAAAAAAATGGTCGTGTTTGTTTTACCTATGTAACTACGCTACTGCTCTGATTATTACAACCATCCACCGCGTCTGTAGCACTCCCATTCACATCGCTACAGCTACTCCCCAACCCCACAGACCCGTTGGCGATGCTCCCGCCATCTCTGTGGCCGCCGGTGCGGCTGCTGCTGCTGCTGCTGTAGAAGCACACCACCTTGCACTTCACCACGCCGGCGCAGGCGACGTACACGTGGAACCCCGGCGCCACCATCATCTTCACGCTTGCCGGCTCCAGCTTCCCGGCGCGCCCGGCGGCCGCGTCCTCCATGAACCGCGAGTCGAAGCGCGCGCCGCGGTCGACGCGCACCACGGGCAGCGGCGGGTGGACGGACCGCGCGAGGAGGCGCACCCCCCACACGCCCTTGGCGGCCAGGAAGAACGCCTGCAGCAGCGGCTCCGGCCAGGCGCGGGCGCGCGCCCAACCGAGGGAGGAAACCACCTCGCTCATCTTGGCGTCGCAGAACCGGCTCAGGCCCTCGCTGTAGTGCTTGGTACCGTGGAGGAGGACCTCCTCCCACGTCAGCGCCGCGATGGAGTGGTACGCCGCGAGGTTGGCCTCGCAGCGGCCCGCCGGGTCCGCCGTGTGCACGTCGCCCTCGGTGTCGAGCTCGAAGTCGGCGTGGAACGCGCGGTTCAGGAAGCTCTCGAGGTTCGGGCCGGGGTTCACCGGGCTGCGGAGGTGATTGGAGAGAGCCCGCGTGAGGCTCCGCACGGCGGCTCGCGCTGTCGACACCGCCCGGAGGAACGACTCGACGGGGAAGGCGGCGGCCGTGGGAGTGGGGAGCACGCGGGCCTCGAGGCGCGCGAGCTTCATCTCCAGCTCGGTGAGGGAGTGCTTCAGCCGCGTGGTCTCCTCCAGCGCCTCGTCCCGCGTGCGCGTCGCCGCCGCGAGCCGCCGCGAGAGGTCGGCCGCGGCCAGGCGCCACTGCTCGCTCTCCCCTCCGTCCCCACCGGACGCCGACGTCGGCGACGGCGACGACCGCGGCGTGGATCGTCGGGTGAGTGACACGAACAGCGAGCGGATGACCGCCCCAGGGCCAGGCGACGCCGGCGCGTGGAGCCGCTGCTTGAAGCGGCAGTCAGAGCAGGACACCGCCGCGACGTACGCCGCGGGGTCCGCTCCGCCTCCTCCTTCGCTCTTCGCTCGCCGCGGCGTCTTCTTGGCACCCCCGCTCCCCCCGCGGTGGTTGTGGAGTGGCGTCGCGACGTGCGCGTACTTCTCGTCCACCTCCGAGGCCGTCGTCCTGCCACCGCCGGCCCGCCTCGCGTCGGATACCTGATTATTACGCCGCATTGTTGAAGCGCAATCCTTGAAAAAACGGAGATGCTAACTAGCGAGGAAGAGGACGCTTACTGCTGCGGCGGGGAAGGGAGAGGAAGGCGAGGGAGAGGAGACCATGGCTGGCGGGCGATGGATCGAGCTCGAGCTCGGCGAGCTCGCTCTACCCCCTGCCTGGGCGCGCTGGCCAACTACACCAAGGACAACTCCGTCTGGTTGCGATTAGCGGGGAGCGTGGCGAGTCAAGTAGGGGTTTTCTCGGGTTCAGAGGGGCGGTGGTGCCTGTGCCTGCCGTGTGCTGGTGGCGACAGGCGAGGCGATGGCGCTGTGGGGCGCGATGCGGGGCGGGGCGATGGTGGTGGTGTACTGGTGCGGTGGTGCCTGCCCGCGTGTGTGACGACGTCCATTTTTTTTTGGGTTAACTTCACGCCCTCACGGGGGTGGAAGGAGTGGCGGGAGTGGGACACTGCGGACGCGGGACATGAATGCCGGTCAGTTCGGTCGCTACTGCGTTTAATGCCATGACCCATCTCCATCTCTCGCCCCCTTCTTTCTTTCTCGTCTATTTTTTCTCCGCGACACTCAAAAAAGTTCTCCATTTTTGCGAGAAGCCGAGAGAATCAGGCTGTGATCCAAAGTTTAGATCTAAATTTCAGTCCTTTTTTATCACATCAAACTGTCATACACATATAATTTTTCAGTCACATCATCTTTAATTTTAATAAAAATCCAAACTTTACGCTGAATTAAACACAGCCTCAGAGAAGAAGTTATGGGATTCTGGAAGGAGGGAAAGGTTTGCACATCAACTCGTGCTTCATTTGTCTCGCGCTAGCTACCGTATGTCGTTTGTACTGCGTGTCAAAGAAGTCAACCAAAAGCCCAATCAATTCTCTAGACATAATTATCTTAAAAAAAATTCTCTAGACATAAGGCTGTTTAGTTGGTGAAATAAAAATTTTTGGGTATCATATTGGACGTTTGACTGGATGTTGGAAGGGGTTTTCGGACATGAATGAAAAAATTAATTTCATAACTCGTCTGGAAAACGCGAGAAAAATCTTTTGAGCCTAATTAAATCGTCATTATTACATGTGAGTTACCGTAGTACTTATGGCTAATCATAGACTAATTAGGCTCAAAAAATTCATCTCGCAATTTACATGGAAACTGTGTAATTAGTTTTTATTTTTATCTATATTTAATGCTATATATATATGTCCAAAATTTGATGTGATGTTTTTGCGAAAAGTTTTTGGGAACTAAACCAGAGCCATAATAGTACTAAGTACTAAAACTTTTTCCTCGTAGCTAATCACAGGAGTAGTATTACAGACGAATACTGTTTTAGAAGCTGTACTCCTAGCTAAATTGAGTACTTGAGACATGCGAAGACGGGATCTATAAACTGGCCAGCCGTGATCCTATAGGACTATAGTCACGGTGAGACATTGCTACTACGTACCATCCCAGTGGCATGAGCAAGAAAACAAGCGTCATGAGTTCGTGGAGGGACACATTAAGAGCGGTTGGCGAGTCGGTTACATGCATCATAAATCCGGAGCTCCATCGGTCTGGACCGGCCGGCCGGCCAGCCGGCGCTGTCCGCTTCAACCGCTGAATGAATTGAACGCGATCCGTATTCCGCGTGACAAGTGCGTGGCTCTTCGTTGTCTCTCCTAGTGACCGCGAACATTGCAAGGCGCCGGTCGAGGTTTACCGTTCTCCATTTGTCGGTTAATTGTACCGGAGTCAGCAGCGGTAACGACGTCACCGGTGACAACGGACTATGGTGGTGACTTCGCCTCGGCAGATTTCACGCTCCTCCTGGGAGTCCATCGGCATCAGATTTGTTCAGACTTCTCACCCAAATAAAAAGGAACTCGTTCAGACTTTCAGGCTGCCCCAGTGTGCAGTGGAAGGAGCTCCTCTAACTTAGGGTGTGTTTAGTTCACGCCAAAATTAGAAGTTTGATTGAAATTGAAACGATGTGATGAAAAAGTTGAAAGTTTATATGTGTAGGAAAGTTTTGATGTGATAGAAAAGTTATAAATTTGCAGAAAAAGTTAGAAACTAACCTAGGCCTTAAAGTTAGAGGGACATGTGTCCCTGACAGGTGAGACCCACACCCACGAGCCCATATGTCAGTGACTGATGTCCCACTAACTTAAGTGAGAGAAGCCTCATCCGTGTGCAGTGCAGTTCAATTCAAGACCAGAGCTCTGGCAAACTGCTGTCGAGATGAAATCACCCGTAGACTGCTGTTTTCAGCGGTTGTTACCATGCCAGCAAACGAGCGCACAGTTGACCAAGTCACCGAGAATTAGGACTCGGGAGGATCTTAAATTGGATATTTTAGGACTTGTTAGCTTTATTCCAGTTTTTAATTTCACTAAATTTTAATAAAGTAACAAATTAAATAAGACATTATCATTACTATCTTATCGAATTTGGTAGTTCTAAGAGTTTCATCTTGAAATAAACACTGCCAAAAATCTAGTTAACGCCAAAATTTTGAAAAGGTTAATCAGAGCAACGAAGTAAGCAAGTCCTTATAATTTCTGGATATCGTTTAATGTTTTATTGTTTCCAGTCAATCGTTATACTAACTCTTACTCCAATAAAAAACACTACTATATAGATAGAGTATACTGTATAAATAGCATTTGCATGGCTGATATACGTACAAGAAAAAGATCAACACTGGAATGAACTAGTATTTAAAATTGTCAAAAAGTTATCCTTGACTAGTGGTCTCATACTACGATCAAGCCACTCACAGAATATTACGCCTACAGTCACTGGAACGGATACCCTTATCTCAATCGGGCGGTAAGCCCCATCTCAATCGGGCACAGCGTCCGTCACAGGCTAGAAGTCACTGATGTGAAGAGTTATCTCAATCGGACAAACGGCCGTCACGGATGAATCTATCTCAATCGGACCCTAAGTAAAGCCCGTCACCGATAACTCTGACCCAGACGACCGGTCAAACTATAGCCCGTCACAGATGACTTACCTCAATCGGGCCACAATTAGAGCCCGTCACAGATGACTACTAACATTTATCGGGCCTAAACTAGAGCCCGTCACAGATGATACTCATCTCAATCGGGGCTAAACTAGAGCCCGTCACAGATGACTGCTGACCTTAATCTGGCCTAAATTAGAGCCCGTCACAGATGACTATCATCTCAATCGGGCATTTAGTTATGGCCCGTCACAGATGACTATAATCACAAAAAAAATAAAATTTGTTTTTTGGCTAGCCTCAGGCCTTTGCTAGCCATGCCCGCTGCATAAATAACAGAAACAAACACAGATATCCAATATCCCCAGCTCCCCAGCATCACCCATTCATATACATATGCATTCACATACACAGACATCAATATATTTCACACAACCACACATTTACAGCCATCTCATATTTCACATCCATTCACATATTTCACATCCATTCAAATATTTATCATATTTCACCTGCAAAACCGAGTTAATTAGATCAAATATTTATTTAGTAAGTCTTAACATAAACATATGAAATATATACATAAATATAAGCATCACATTTACATCATCACAGTTGCATAATAAGTGTTCATCATTGCCTAAACATAAAAGTTCAACATTGTTCATCATTTTAGTTTAAGCCTAAACATTTATTTGGGGTTAATTATTTCGCAGAGGATGAAGCTGGCTATCTCCTCGCGAACCTCCTCAAAGCTGGTAGGCAGAGACTTGATTATTGTGCCCTACATTGTCATAATTCCAGATTAGTTGATCGATCATATATAAGTGCTAAAATGTAGTTAGTCTATCACAATTGAGACCACCGACCTCAAACTCAGCCAAAGTCTTCACCTTATCTCTATACAGAAGGCGCATGTTGTGGCACACATAGAATCTGCACTGGTCACCTATTTGTTGCTTCACCGGGAAGTCCTTTTTGTGGATGAGGGTGTCATGTCCTATCTTCCTGAGGCCTCCTCTTTGCACGTATTGGGCCCACGCTTCATCTATCACTAGTTGAATTGGGGTCCAATCATATGTGTTCTTATCAATTCTGGAGTTCAGGTAGTGACATGTACTCCACTTAGGTGCTATGATCAGAAGGATCCAATGGGCACTGCGGCATTAATATAGTGAAAGTTAATTAAGTACTGAAGGAATGTGTCATGCTGTTGTGTATATTTAGATAACACACTTACTATTGATTATAGGCGCACATAATGTACTCCTTGTCTTGGCGGGACCACAAGGTGTCGTAGATGTAGTTGACCATTCCTTGACGGTCATTCTGAAGATTTGTGACAGTGACCACTTGTGGATCAAGGAAGGCAACTTCCGGTGCATTCTTCTGACACCATTGCCAACTTAACCTACACACAGGATAAACGATCTTGTAAGCGAGTTAATCCGATTGTTATTACCAGATTGAGTTGGGTGACAATACTTACAAGGAGTAGCACTTAAGGAGGCTTGTGTCCACCGCTCGGAGCATGTAGAGGTCGAATAGATCCTTGAAGTCGACGACGATATCATTTGTTGGACCAAGGAATGGCTTTCCATCATGCTCTCCAAGGATATCGGTAGCTTTATTCGGCTTCCTGGCGTTAGATTTCTCCATGTAGTATGCGTGAAGGTCCTTGCAAGCGGTGCCCATTGCGGCAAGCACGTCATCTCTAACCAATGGCATGCCTAGATGGAACTCCTGTGGAGCAGCGTATTTCTTCTTGACCTCTTTGCCCTTAGTCTCTTCCTGGCCCATGCCCAGATCTAGCTTCCTTGGAGCTAGAAGCGAGGACTGCACCTTTCCTCCCCTTCCTCTCCCCTTTGCTTCGGGTTTATCGAGAGTAATTCTCTGAGGGGAAGAGTGTGCCTTCCTGCTCTTTTTCATTGGTAGGGGTTCATGAATTGCCTTGCTGTCAGCCTCCGTTCGGTCCTCCCCAAAATCCGTGTCGTACTGCAACTGCACATCGTAAGATTGTGCATGACGATCTTGAGCAGGAGGGGCTGAAGGAGCAGAGGCGGGTCTCTTTGGTGGACGACCGCCTGGTGCAGTGGTTGGCCTCGCTGTAACCCTGATCTCAATGAGGTCCTTGGGCCATTGGATGAAGGTACCACAGGCATTTCCTAGTGAGAGGACCTCGTCGTTTGGTGGATACTTTAGTGGGAATAACTCGTATTCCGGCTTCACCGAGTCGACTTGAACTTTTGCACAGTCGCCCCTGAGTTGCGCTCCATGCACTCTTGTCTTTGGGGTCGGCTTGTACGCAAGTCCCTTGGCTGCTGGAACCGTGAAGGTTGGCATCACCATAACTGTGAGGGTGTAGCTCGTTGGTTCCTGCGATAGATTAATCATTTTTTTTAGAATATTATATATCATATGGATTCGTTAAGTCTTTCATGCATTGTGGATGAAACTTTTACCGTTATGTGGTCGACGGCGCTGTCGACCGATGTTGCTCTTCGTGCGCAGCAGCAGCGGCGGCCTGGGGGTTCTGTTGCTCTTCTCGGATCTCTTGCCTAATCTTGGCCCTCATCGACTCGAGCTTTTCGTAGAATTCAGATGTCAGCTCAACTCTTATCGACACCTGGATCTTGGCTTCAAGGCGTGCATCTTTCTTCGCCTTGTTGGAAGTCCGCTTCTTGTACTGCCACGCATAGTC